TGAATACAAACCACCAATTAGCACTAATTCAATTAAATACTCAAGAATGAACAATAATAATAATAATAATAAAACAACATCTCAGACGGTTGGGATTCCGGGGCGGCTCACTCCCGGGAAAGATGCAGAAAGCGGTGCTCTTAGATTCTGCCCGCATTGTACGCCGGCTTCTCTCCCTGGGGCCCTGAACCCCGGCCGACTGTGCTTCTGCCGGGGGTATGTTGCCATCTCCTCTCCTTAAGAGGGGAGATGAGAATTTTTGGGAAAAAAAATAATAATAATAAAACCCCGAGTACGCATGAGATGGAGTAATAAAGTGAACACATTCATGATGCGTACCTACTTTACTATCACTAATTTAGAAACTGACATGACAACATATCGTATTAAATATTCACCCTTCCAAAACATATCTTCTACAGAAAGCCACAATATTACATACCTGTCGCATAACCCGAAAATTCTTAACCTCTGTTAAATATCCCACTTAGAATATTGTCTCATTATTATAGCTGTTTGGGTTTGTTCCGTTGCTTTTAAAAAGGTAAAATAACTTGGCGCCAAAATATATTGACAAAAAAATTAAAAATAAAAAGTATATAATGTTACAGAGACCAGAAGGGAACTGTAGAGAAAATATATATATTGTCATATTTATTACATAAATACATTATAACAGTTTTCAAAGTGATATAATGGTTGGAAGTACAGTACAAATATATTTAAGGCTACAAATTAAACACAAACACACTGCACTTACTTGGTTTGCCCGTAAGTGTGGTATACGCCACAAATCGTAAAACCCCAGCAAAAAGGCTGAGAAAGCGAAACACACAAATAATAATAATAATCTCAGGACAATTCACACAGCGCCATCTAGACACAAGTTAAGCTAGCTAAAGCTTGTATTATGGGTACTAGATAACTGATACAAATACATATTTTTTTCGTAAATACATACATAATATACATAGAAAACACCCAGATCGATACAAACAATCATACTCATGAATACAAATGTTTGTGCCGTGCGAGGAATCGAACTCGCGACCATCGGACGTCAAGCGGCGTGCTAGACCGCTAGACCACCGAGGTCGTCAAATACGTCAAAAACGCCCACCCACACTACACTCATATGTACAAACACACTTTTGCACATACAAATGCATTTTTCCTCGTATCTATAGTAAAACTTATAACACACATATCTCATATCTGTTTTCCTCATTCAACCCACTACATATACACCATCATAATTATAAGTAGAAAATATATTATATTATATAATATAATAAATAAATAAATAACTCTGAACAATTAACACAGCGCCATCTAATCCCACGGTAAGCAGAGCATGTGTTATGGATAGTAGACAACTGATATAAATATTTAGATTTTTTTATAAATACATACATATAATACGTAAAACAGCCAGACTGATACAAATATCATACTCATGAATACAAATGTTGCACCATGCGAGGAATCGAACCCGCGATCATCGGAAATAAAGCAGTGTCGTAAATATACATTTTAGCCTCTTATGAACATCAAGTTTTTTGTATTATAATATTTTTTCCCTACCATCCAGTTCAGTATACAGCTTCAATTGAGAAGAAATGACGAAAACTCAACTGAATTTCTTTTTTTTAAAAGCCAGTTTATTTACATTGCAGACTTATATAAGTGTCTGTATGTAGTGCATGAACAACTATTGTCATGTACATTTGTCATTCAAGTAATTGTTTAGTGTGTAGGTAATAGGCTTTGCTATTATGTAAGCCTATTACTCACTAAATTATTACTCATTTAGTAAATGTACGGGCAACTGCACATGCCTGCTTACTGTGCAATACACAATGCCTACACATGCTATTTCACTTCAATACATTTCACCTCATTATATTTATTTTAGTAATAAAAATCAGTGTTCGAGTAGCATTCAACCAAGGCGGTTTTACTGTATTTTTTACATTGCACTGAATAAAATATTTTTCTTTCTTCTTCTTCTTCTTCTTTTATTTAACAAAAACCCCTCATCAATCAATCAATAGCATTATAACAGAACTGTGAGCTTAAACCTCCAGAGTAAATATATTTTGGTTATTTTTGCAAAAGATGTGTGATCTTACCATCATTGTGGTTATAAAAAAAAACATACTGATGTTTGTAACTGCTCTAAAATTAGTGACTAAATGACTCCAATAGATAAATTAAGTTTTAAAGATCCTGTTTACAATTTAAATTGTGGATAAAAGATTTTATTTATTTCATAACATTAGCTTATATCTGAAACATGTTATTCTCAAAATTCATCAGAAAACTAAATATATTATTATTACTAGGTGACCCCAAAAAACATTGTTTTGTACATATAAAAATAGGGGTTGGAGGTAGAAGAGTGAAAATATAGGGTTGTATGTATTTTTTAATGGTACATTGTAAAAGAATGCACCTTAAATATAATTTTATATTAACTGATAAAATGATATAATGATTACATCTTAATGTATAATTGTTAATAATAATGGTAATAGATTAATTATTATTTTACATTATTCAGAATATTTTATCTATACATCTATATATATAAATAAAATGTCGGTTGGACTCCATTTTCCGCAATTAGCCTCTCATTCGGGCCGTTGTGCCTGTATATAAATAAAATTGGAGTGTCTGTTTGTAATATTGAAATAACTTTTTTTTACTACATGCATATGAATATATATACGGTACATATACCAAAATATTTTTTTTTATAATTTTTGTCTGTCTGTCAGTCTATTTGTTCCGGCTAATCTCTGAAATGGCTGGATCGATTTTGGCAGGTAGCTGATGTAATAAGGAGTAACTTAGGCTACTTTTATTTTAGAAAAATAAAATAAAATTCCATGTGGATGAAGTCGCAGGAACAGCTAGTCTTCTATAATATGTCCATGAGAATTTTTATAGATTTTCCTGTACAGCCTCCATATAATACCTGTACCTCAACCTTTCCCATTAGGGATAAAAAAATTACTACTACTACTCAGTTTTGGTTTCAATTTAAAAACAAAACAGTTATTTATTGGGCAGTACAAGCCATGACCTTTGCCTGTCCAAATTGGATGTATTTTAAAACAACTGAAATTAATAAAGATGGCGCCAACACTTACAATACATTGTGTTTATTGTTCATAAATGACAAGAAAATAAATTGTTAATGTCTTAAAAGGATATTAGGTTATATAAAGTGGATATTAAATTCTATATACTTGGTATGAATAAAACATGATTAATTATGATTCATCTTGATGTAGCTTGTGTTTACATATACTTTTAGGAAGGCAATAAAATGGAAGTTTAGAATTGATTGTTATCCAGGTTTTATATACACTTTGGGCTTATAGGCCTATACTGCACTTCTAGTTTATTTAAATTGAAAGAAAATTAACCATAAATACTTAGATGAATATAAATATATAAAAATTTGGTACATTATACATTTATTCATTTCCTAATCAGTTAAAGGATATATTTTTTGTAATTTAGATATTCTTTACTTTTTAAAAAAACAGATGGCACAGAGAGATAAGTAAAAAAAAATATTATGAAACAATAAAGCAAAGTGCATTATCTGTATATTGTTCACTAAAGTAGGTAAGTAGCTGTATACCATTCATATATTCTGAGAATGAATTAATTTATTACTATGTATAGTAATGTATTTAATAACTCAACAATGTTATACAATTAGTACACATATCAGGAGAGGTTATAAGAAAATCAAAGATATTATTCTAGTAAGATTCCAATCGGAATATTTATTGCAATGTTTACATAAATATTACTGTACTTACCGGGCATTGCGCTGCCAGTCTGCCCCATTTTCGCCGAATTTGAATTTCGAATCCACGCTCGAAATTTAAATATTTATTTACTATGTAAACACATTTATATCAGTTAATTGGTAGTCCATAGTCTTATTAAACACGTACACTTGAACTATGATCTTGGTAACGAATGTTTACACTATTTATTTAATTATACGGATGATTTCAATATTTTGATTCTCAACGCCGTGTTTTATGTAATTTTAAGGACTTAAGCACCATTGCTACACTGCTATCCTAAGTTTAGTTACAATAATATTATTGCACGAGATTACTTCACATTATTGCAGATAATTATTACGTTTTTTAATTATTATTACAAGGGTTAATTATTCGACCACGATTACTGTGTGAGTTTGACAGTTTTAATTATATCGAGTTTGACTGATCCAGTAAATCTGACATTTTATATGATATATGTCACAAATCGCAGCGCACTACTACAAATTTTGTAGAAAGTACAACGATTAAAAATAATTGAACTGATTCAAAATTATGTGTAATAAATAGTAGCATTTGTGGTTTCATGATTTTTTATAATGCTTCTAATTCCTGTGCCTAAGATGTTATTTTATATAAGAAAAGATTACGTTGTGTATTCATCGTTATGACCATTAATTTCGTTTTGTCCCTATATGGAGTGTGATTAAATGATTGGGTTGTATGTTTGGATTTAAAAGCTATTCTTAATAATGAGTTCAACGATGTATAGTAAATTTAGACCAACTTTTTAGTCCATAATAGATTATAATCTTAATATGCTATTTTGAAAACATAATGGAATAAATAAAGAAATTATTATTATTATCAGAATAGAATATGGATTTGTTACATAAAAGATTTTTACGAGCTATAATTTTTAATTCATCATCATCATCTCAGCCCGGAAGACGTCTACTGCTGAACAAAGGCCTTCCCACGCTGCGTCTTCATTCGTCGACGTCACATTAATTAATAAAAGTCAAATAATTTTTGATTAATATTACCTAAATTTATAGAATGTGGAAATCAGAGACCTCACGGGAGAACATTACAAAAGATGGCAACTCAGTGCTGTCCAATGTCAAATTGTAATGTGTATTGTAAAACTTCGAGTAAGTGTACTTGTTAAGTTGGGCTAAAAAGAACTTGTATCCAGAGCCGTAAAACACATAATAAAAAAAAAACGTCAAATTTAAAAAATATTTAAAACATGTCGCCGTTATAAATAAACAGTACTGTTTTGTTAAACTTGTTCAAATTAAAATATAATTACTTATTAATTCGTTAACTACAATCTCGCCTGCAGCAATGAGTGACAAGAAAAAGGCTTTGCAGGCTCACAAGGAGAAGTTACTCGCCGAAATTCGTTATTATGACAAGAGAATTGAGGAATTTCGGACCAAAGGGAATTCTAGTTTCGTAAACTATGAGTGTAGGTAAGAAACATAATTTTTTTATAGAAAACTTAACGAAGGAAGTATAAAAATTATACGGAAGCACCTTGAGAGTGTTGGAAACAGTATGTTGTTGTTAAGTTTATTTTAGGAATCTATAGTATAACTTTATAAAGAAGAAATGTTTGTAACCTTCGAATTTTGGAATAATCAGAAAAACTACTAAATGGATTGTTTCATATGGATTTCTTACATTAGAATCATCTGCAAGGAAAGTTTCGGTTTAATAATTAATAATAAAAATAATATTTTATATAATAAGCCCATGTGAATCATGTTGCTAATAGAAACTACCCAACTAATATTTTTTTGATTGGTCTGTTGCTAAATCTTATTAATATTGTAAGCTAAAATTTGTGAGTATGAATGGATACTTTTTTCTTACTCTTTCACATAAAAACTATCTATATAGAACAGATTTTGATGTAAGTTACAATAAAATAAGCCATACATCAGAATAATACATAGGCAATACTAATTTCCTGCCGGCGAAACTGCAGGCACAGCTACTAGAGAGAATATATTTATCTAAAAATATTTCAGCTCAGATTCCGAAGATGACTATCAAATCAATATGGACCTTGGTCCTTCAATATCAGAGCTCAAATTAGAACAGACACAGCTGAGGACGCGTCTGCAAGCGACACAAGAGCTGACCAGCCTGCAGATCCTGCAGTCAGAGGTCAAGGTATTGGTGGCAGACCCTGAGATTACGAGGTGAGAACTAATATTGAAATGTTTTTGGAAAAATTCATGTAGGTCTATTACAGACTCTTGATATGTCAAATCTACCATCAGTTCTGAATGACTTCGATATGAGAAGAACTGACAAGAAACTCAGCACGTATTATTTTCAAACAAATGTTGTATATGTTTACAATAATACAGATTTATTTTTATTCAAATTTGGGAGAACTAGAGTGACCACCAGCATATGCTATTGCAAAAGCAAATAATCTAATCAGTGTTTGTAACCTGAACAGACCAGTCACCACTTCCCGTCCCATTTATCATTCTCTTTATATCTTACTTCTTACTACTTGAATCAATACTTCAATAGACTATTACTTAGTACAATATATACATCATGATTAGGGCCCTCACTGGGCACTGCAAATTAAAAAACATATGGCAAACTTAGGTCTGAACTTAACAATCTGATTTTCCCCAGCTGAAGAGAAAAAGCCACTACACATCCTATGTGGTTATAGCCCACTCATGCTTAACCAAAATATCTACTTTGGAAAGTATACACTCTATCCTGAGGAGATAAAAACCATCACTCCTAAAATGGCCTTAGTTATGGGATATTCATGGATTTTCACTTAATGTTAGACATACACATATGTACACAAAGTAAATAAACTGGCTTTAAAAAAAAAGGAATTTAGTTGAGTCTGATTGCAAGATATCTAACATAAAAAAAAAAGTTGAGTTTCTTGCCAGTTCTTCTCAATTTAATGTGTGTACTGAATTGGATCATAGGGAAAAATGTTAATACAAAACTTGTCGTCCATAAGCAGCTAAAATGTCCTACATGATTCAATTATTTTTTATTTTATTTGATAATGTTTACTTTCTATCTCAGTATTGGGCTTACAGGGTGGCAAATAGGGTAATCCTGGAGCCTTGCTCTTGCAGGGGCCTTGCATAACCACCAAAGCAAATTTTAAACAATCAGTGAGTAGCCTTTTGTATAGTGTCAAGTTGCAAACACTTTCCGGTTAACTAAAAAATTACTGTTCCTAAAATAATAATAATAATAATAATTCTTTTATTGGCACTAAAAGTATATAATATTTTACAAATTTTACTGTTCCTAAAATATACAAATAAAAAAAAAAAAAATAGTAGCTATAGTCTTCTTAAAGCAGCGGAAATTTGTTCGCATCACATACTATTCATGTAGGAGAAAGGGTCTTGCAATGGTCTCGCAAATGGCCGCCACTGTTTCTCTATCTATATATATATAACTCAAAGGTGACTGACATAGTGATCTATCAACGAACAGCACAAACCACTGGACGGATCGGGCTGATATTTGGCATACAGGTAGATGTTATGACGTAGGCATCCGCTAAGAAAGTATTTTGATTAATTCTACCCCCAAGGGGATAAAATAGGGGATGAAAGTTTGTATGAAACTTTGTCAATTTTAAACCGATCGGACTGAGACTTTGCATGCATAAAGCTACTATGTCGTAGGCATCGTCTAATAAAGGATTTTGATAAATTCCACCCCTAAGGGGATAAATAAAACGAGCGAAGCCGTGGGCAAAATCTAGTCCTAGGATTATTTATGCTTATTTAAAGTATTTATATATTGTAATTGACAGTGGTCGTTCAGTCATGGAGGAGGGAGTGTGGCGTGAGGTGACAGCCGAGTGCCGCGTCGACATGGTGCCGTTTACCATAATTTTCTACGTCCACAAGCCTGTCAGTATTTAATATTTTTAATCCTTAATCATTACATAGTATAAAACAAAGTCGCTGTCGCTGTCTGTCCCTATGTATGCTTAATGGCTGTAACTCAAAAACTATTTAAGATATCGATTTAAAATTTTAGTATGTTATTTTTGAAGGTATAACCTATCGAAATATGGAAAAAAAAAATCGATTTTTTGAAAATTTCACACAAGGTGTGCCCTTAAACCTTTAAAACTATGCAACGGATTTTGAGGCGCTTTTTTTTAATAGATAGAGTGATTCTAGAGGAAGGTTTATATATATAATACATGTACACCCGTGTGAAGCCGGGGTGAGTAGCTAGTAATATAAATGTGAAAGTTAATATAATAGTAGAAAAGCGTGAATGTGTAACAAACATCCCTATTGTTTGTTACGCATTCACTCTTAAACTACTGAACCAATCATCATGAAATTTTGTGTACATGTTCTTGGATGTATTAGAATGAAAATAGAATAGTTTTTTTTTTTAACTAATATTTTTAATTCAATGCGAGCGCCGTTAAGCCGAAGTTAAATCTAATAATGTAAATGAGAAATTTTATAAGTATGGATGGATGTTTGTTATTCTTTCACGCATAAACTACTCAACGGATTTTGATGAAACTTTACAGTAATACAGCTTATACATCAGTATAATACATAGGCTATAATTTTAAAAGATATGATGTAAATTGGGTGAAATATAATGATAAGTGAAATATAATGTCAAGTGAGTGTGATGCAGACGAAGTTGCGAGGATCAGCTAGTATAATATAAAAATTTGGAACAAAACTCTTCTTTTTATCTTTTAAACTGCTAGATCACCGAGGTCGTCGGGTATTAAAATTATTTCTTTTCTGTGACTATTTGTATTTTTATATGGATGATCACAATATATTATTTGCGCTAACGGTTTACTCTGGCGAGGCACCAGTGCAGGACGATAACATGATCAGTTAGCCCATTGGAACAAGCTCACCAGGAATTTATCACGGTGTCCAGGAAACCATGTGGAGGTCAACCTGACATGGTATATTGCTAGCCATGATCATCAGCCCACATTACTAACAATCCAGTTTCCATATATTGAATCGAACATTGCTAGCCATGATCATCAGCCCACATTACTAACAATCCAGTTTCCATATATTGAATCGAACATTGCTAGCCATGATCATCAGCCCACATTACTAACAATCCAGTTTCCATATATTGAATCGAACATTGCTAGCCATGATCATCAGCCCACATTACTAACAATCCAGTTTCCATATATTGAATCGAACATTGCTAGCCATGATCATCAGCCCACATTACTAACAATCCAGTTTCCATATATTGAATCGAACATTGCTAGCCATGATCATCAGCCCACATTACTAACAATCCAGTTTCCATATATTGAATCGAACATTGCTAGCCATGATCATCAGCCCACATTACTAACAATCCAGTTTCCATATATTGAATCGAACATTGCTAGCCATGATCATCAGCCCACATTACTAACAATCCAGTTTCCATATATTGAATCGAACATTGCTAGCCATGATCATCAGCCCACATTACTAACAATCCAGTTTCCATACATTGAATCGAATTAGGTTTTATTTTGCGGATGTCCATTTCACTACTTAATCGATTTATATTATTGTTTAATTCCGCTATAATTAACATGAGAGCACAAATAATCGGTGTGGAAACTTGACTACCGTTACATCCTTCTCTAATGGTGATCAAATTCCGACCGAATTTATTGAATTTATACCCATATCGCGACACGTGTTTCGCCTCTGAATATGACATCATCAGGTGTTGAATAGACTTCGGATATAATAATAATAATAATAGTAAGTGGCCCGTAAGTGTGGAGAAAACCAGCAAAAGCTGAGAAAAAAAAATCTCCTCTCCTTAAGAGGGGAGATGAGAATTTTTGGAAAAAAATATAATAATAATATCTTTATTGTCTAATATTTTTTACAAATACAAATAATTTATGAAGTCTCTGAATTCTGTGGTAGGTATAGATAATACCTGTGTTTTAGAAGTCAGGGTCCTCTTCAATATTGTTGTGTACTTTAAGTGAGTTTTTTTTTTTGAGGGTTGATAATGGAATGGTGCACCCTCCTGCGCTAACGGTTTACGCTGGCGGGGCACCAGTGGAGGATGATAAGATGAGCATGAGGTCAGGTCAGTTAGCCCATCGTCAAATTCACCAGGAATTTATCACGATGGTTTCCAGGGGGAACCGCGTGGAGGTCGACCTGACATGGTACATTGCTAGCAATGGGGTTATCAGTCCACATTACTAACAATACCCTTCCCCCCACTTTAAGTGAGTTATATAGCTTGGAAGACTAGTGTTGACTGTCTGACTGGTCGCCGGACAGTCAAAAAATATATATCCATTAAGACCAAACTGGATTACAGTTTCCCTCCAACTCTTTGTATATTTTCTAACTGTAACATTTGTGTATTCATTTCAGAACCGCAAATTTGGTGCTTATACGTACAGAGAACTCCGCGTCTCAGTCGTTAAGTCGGCGCATGAGAGGGAACTCGCATCTTCTGTTTTAGAGTCTGTGAAGCAGCCCAGCGATGCTGTGGAGGTATACCTCTTTTTTATTTAATTCCAATGTTTATGGTCCATGTACGGTGAGTGGTAACTTTTTTATGGATGTTTTGATACAGTGAAAGTACCAGGATAACATGAAGTTATAGGCAGTTGGATGATGTCTTTGGTACTGGCGATGGTTGACATGTATGTATGTATTTATTGTGGAACCGAAAGTCTTCCGTAATGCACTTACTACATTGGGACCGTTGGAGGACGATAGTATGAGCATGAGGTTAGCTCAGGCTCTTACAAAATAGTAAGTGTAATACAGTGAAAGTACCAGGACAACATGAAGTTACAGGCAGTTGGGTGATGTGTTTGGTACTGTTCATGTATATAGGCGACGGTTGACACTCTATATATTGTAAAACCAAGGGCTTCCGAAATGCGGATGACTATATGTGTTAATAGGGTGAGTATTAATTCAGATCAGATCCATGTTCTTATAAAATAATAGGTGTGATACAGTGAAAGTACCAGGACAACATGAAGTTACAGGCAGTTGGGTGATGTGTTTGGTACTGTTCATGTATATAGGCGACGGTTGACAATTTCTATATATTATAGAACCGAAGGTTTTCCATAATGCCTATGAATATATGTGCTGGTAATAAATAGGGTGAGTATGAGATCAGATCAGATCCTTGTTCTTATAAAATAATAAGTGTGATACAGTGAAAGTACCAGGACAACATGAAGTTACAGGCAGTTGGGTGTTGTCTTTGGTACTGTTCAATAGTACAAATATGTGTATTCATGAGTACAATTGTTTGTATCGGTCTGGGTGTTTTATATGTGTATTATGTATGTATTTACAAAAAAACATGTCCAAGTATTTATATCAGTTGTCTAGTAACACCGATAACACAAGCTCTGCTTAGCTTGAGACTAGTTTTGCATATTGTCTATGTGCTATCTATTTCAATACTCAATTTTTGTTTCCAGGTTATCAGAAGTTACTCAGCAGCTCACCGCTCGAGAAGGACCACCCTGGCGCGACTAGCAGAGAAGTACGCGGGTTCTTTGTTCATGGAGCCAATGGTAAATATTATCGACGATAGTGGGCGCGTGCAGGTGGCACTCCAAACCGGCGGAAGGACTTATCAATATTACAAATAGACACTCCAAATTTTATTTAAATGTATAGATGTATATAACGAGGGTGGTTCCTCTACTTGGGATACCTCGTCATCAGAACCCATGTTGGGCATGGTGTAGGCAAGAAATAATAGTCTGGATTTAAAGTATAATTGTCTATTAACTCACTCCCGATAACAAAATAATAAATTTAACAACGATCAGCCAGATGCAAACGGATTAGTCAGGGAAACGCGGCAAGTTCGGTACAGAGTGAAGAACAACCTCTAGCGCTCGCCCCCAATTCAAAAGTGCCGTTTCGTAATTGCCGTTAAAACTGCTTTACCCTGTACCGACCTCACCCAAGCAAACCGCTTGACGTTTCCAACAACGATAATAGATGGCGCTATTCTAGTAGAAACTAATCAATTGAGCCTCTTTGTTGATTCTGCGACATATAGATAATGATTTGTCAAAATGTAGTACACTTTGTCATCAGGTTGATGGTGGGTATACATTAAAATGTGCTGATCTACTTGAGGTCTCGTGGGTCCTGCAAAATAGGTCGCGCGTCGGACCCTTCCAGCACCGGATGAGATTCGATCTCGAGTATATGGGTGAGATTCTTTACAATTTGCTAATATTGAGTTTGAAGAAACAATATTTTGAATTAACGAATAGCTGTGTTGGTATTTAAGTAGAAATAGAAAGCGGTGTAGGGCATTAGTGGCGAGAAACTGTGACAACGGAAACTTTAATATATATGTATAAATATATATTTAATATATTTATTAATAGCTGTACACGCGACTTCGTCCGCGTGGATTATAAATTTATTTTTCTAAAATAAAAGTAGCCTAAGTTACTCGTATTACATCAGCTAACTGCCAATACAAGTCCCATCAAAATCGGTCGAGCCATTTCAAAGATTAGCCGGAACAAACAGACAGGCATACAAAAATTGTAAAAAATGTGTTTTTGGTGTATGTACCGTATTTATATTCATATGCAATTCAATTTTACAGACAGTCCAATTTTATTTATATGTATAGATTTTTGTTTTGTTTTGCATATTAATAAAATTCAATAATATGTTTGTATGTTCCAGATGAGTCATACATAAAAGCAATCTCACAAGTCCACCGGCAGCTGTCCGACCCAACAATTAGTACGGACGAACGCACATTGCTATTAGCTAAAATAATCAACATAGTTCTCGAAGCGAAAGGACCAACACAAGAGTTGTACGAGAGCATGGAATCATCTGACCCGGAAACAGCTAGTAGACTTAGGACCCGGCGCACAACTTTAGACCAACCGGAACCGGTATCTCAATATCCGGTACTGAGAGAGAAAAAGGACAATGAAGTTATGGCTCCACCTAAATCTCTGCCCAAGAAAGTTAAGAAAAATAAACATAATGCAAAAGATTTAGGTAAAGATGGCGCTGATGATAATAAATCTGTAACAACTGATGAAGAAGATAGAACTGTAACAGAGCGAGTTATGAAGTCTGTTAATAAACATGTTGCAGAGAATTCGGTAAAAGATACAGAAAATAAACTGAAAGAAAGTGCTAATGTTGTGAAGAAAAGTAAAACAGTAAACACTATTGATAATGGAAAAGCGAACACGGGTAAAGTAACGGGAAAAAACGAGGTAACTAAAAGTAAAGGTAAAGAAAATGCAGTTAATGCTAAAACATTGAAAAAAGCAGGTAATACAAAAGGCAAAGGTGATGGTAACATTGAAAATGAATTAATTGTTGAGAGTAATAATAAACAGGTACAAAATAAACACAACGCAAATGCTGTTGAATCAGGAAATAAGCCTGATAAGATAAAAGAAAAAGGTCATAATGTTAACGATGAAGTTATAAGCAAATCTAAAAACAATCGTGTAGAGAATAAAAAAGATGGAAGTGAAGGAACAAAGAAAAATGTAAACAGAGCAAATGTTGGTGAAAATGAAGTATCTACCAAAACTAAAACTAGTAACGTACAAAATAAAAAAGAGGGAAAATCTGTGAAAACTGTCAAACAAAATGATAAAGCAGATACTAATCGAGATGGAAATACAAATAAAAATATTGATAACATTGAAAATAAAAAAGATGCAATTGCAGGCAAAAAGACTAAGAATCCAGAGAACCATAGAGATAAAGATAAAATAAACAGTAATGCAGATACAGAAAATAATGCTAAAAAAGAAGTTAACAAACCGTTAAAAAGATTAAATAGCGACAATCAAGTCCAGAACGCGAAGAAAATTAAAACTGGGCATTTACCAGAAAATGATAAAAATCGAAATAATAAAGTAGAAAAAAAGGAAAGTGACAAAGCTACCTCAAATGTTAAAACAGTAACAAAAAACACAGAAAATAAAAAAAAAGTACCTGAAAAGTTAAACGACAATAAAAATAGCAATTCCGCAGATACTATTCAACCAAAAAACTTAGAAAATAAGAATAAAATTAGTGTAGCCAGTTCAAAAAACGAAACCACAATACAGAAAGTTGTAGAGAAAAGTAAACTTGCAAAAAGTAATACAGTTGATGTTAACCAGAAATTCAAAAATAAAAACTATCAGAATGTAATTAATAATAAAAAAACCAATGTACTCACAAAAATAGGTAACGAAAATAACAAAAATATAAAAAATGGAATTGAAAAAGTTAAAGGCAGTGTCAGTGCTTTAACTAAGATAGGGAATGGAGTGAAGAAAATTAACTCAAAAATACCTCAAAAAGCAAACCTCATGTTGCAAGGATTTTCAAAGAAAAGTCACTTAAGAATCAGCCCAAGTAAGTAAACATATACTATATGAGTATATACACCAAAAAGACCATATCTGTGGAATGGGATTGTTAGTAATGTGGACTAATAACCCTATTGCTAGTATTGTACCATGTCAGGTTGACCTCCATGTGGTCATGGAAACCATTGTGATAAATTCAGGGTGAATTTACCATGATGTGCTAACTGACATAACCTCATGGTCATATTATCATCCTCCACTGGTGCCCCGCCAGAGTAAACCGTTAGCGCAGGCGGGTGCACCATTCCATTATGTAGGATTAAGATCTCACGCCTCTTATCCTGTAATTTCACTGCCTAATCTGCAACCTACAACCGAAACAGCTTACAAAGCAAGCTGCTTGACGGCTGAAATAGCTGAGACTGAGGTACATACGCTGACGATTCTGTTCAAAGTTCCGCTTTAATTTAATTATTTATCAGTATTCTTACCTTCAACCCCATTCATCCCCAATTTGATCTCCTTCCGGATTAGTATTTTTTATTTATTTTTAATGGAATGGTGCACTCGCCTGCGCTCACGGTTTACCCTGGCGAGGCACTGGTGGAGGATGATAAGATGAGCATGAGGTAAGGTCAGTTAGCTCATTGTGGCAAATTCACCAGGAATTTATCACTATGTTTTCCAGAATGAACCACATGGAGGTCAACTTAACATGGTACATTGCTAACAATAAGATCGTTATGTTGTGATACAAGAATTCGTTTGCATGATACGGAAGTTCGGAATTTGATAACCAATAGAGAAGGTCCAGTAGCGGTGGTCAGGTTTCCGCACTGAATATTTGTTGGTTGGTCTCACATATGCTAATTGTAGAGGACTTAAACAAAATAATATAAAATAATTAACTAATTTATTTTCTAGGAAAAACACCGTCGAAATTCAAAATGACTTCAATACAGAAATTAAGCAAGATGCCAGTACAGAAGTCCACCTCGAGTATACCTAGTAAGATGTTTATTTATTTATTTATTTTTTTTTAAGGATTACCAACATAAGATACAGTAATAAAAAATTTGTTATCATTCTATACAATTCTAATGGTCTTAAACTAACTGTTCTCATAATTATAGGTAAAAGCACAGCATGCTTTGAGTTACAAGATTATATCACTACTATTACATATGTCAATAAAATTAATTAATAAATTAAATTTAAACTTGAATGTTCACAAAATTTCATGAGAATCGGTCAAGCCGTTTCGGAGGAGTATGGGAACGAAAACTGTGACACGAGAATTTTATATATAAGATTAGCATTATATGTATAATACATGTACACCCGGGCGAAGCGGGGGCGAGTAGCAAGTTATACATATAAACCTTCCTCTTGAATCACTCTCTATCTATTGCTGAAAACTGCATTAAAATCTGTTGCGTAGTTTAAAAAATCTAAGCGAACAGACAACGGAAGCAATTTTGTTATGTAAAGATAAAAGCGCATATCTCAGTTGAGCTGCTTTTGAGATTAGCACAATCTAAATTTGACTTCCCAGGTGGACTATCGGTTTAGCACGCCGCTTTCTGATGATCGCGGGTTCAATTCCTCGCACGCCACTAATATTTGTATTCATGAGTATGATTGTATCGGTCTAGGTGTTTTCTGTGTATATTATGTATGTATTTACAAAAAAAGTGTATTGCGTTTTTAAGAGAAATATCATATATATTGTTAGTTAATTGTAAAATTAAGGATTGTATAATTCAACTTTTGATATTTGACAAATTTATAAAAGAAATATATCTAAGTATTTGCATCAGTTGTCTAGTACCCATAACATAGACTGCTTACAGTGGTACTAGATGGCGCTGAGTTAATTGTCCAAGGATATTTTTATTATTATAAAAGCATGTGACTTTATCAATGGAAACGAATGAATGTGATTAACCTAGTTTCTTTTTATTGTATTTTCAGGGCTACTGAAGAAAATTGATTAGATTTTCCAAATTATTAATAACTGGCTGCCGAGCTGCCAGAGCTGCTGAGCCGCGCAACTTTCTACATCACACTTACTGAACATTTATCATTATTTATATAATATATTTTTAAAATTTAGTCTATGTGTTCTGATATATAAGCTATATTACCATAAAGTTTCACTAAACTCCATTCAGTAGTTTATTTGTGAAAGACAAACATCCATCCAAACTCACAAAGTTTCGTTTAGTAAGATTGATACAGTGAAAGTACCAGGATAACATGAAGTTACAGGCAGTTAGGTGATGTCTTTGGTACTGTTCATGTATATAGGCGACGGTTGACACTCTTCTATATATTATAGAACAGAATGTAAAGGTCTAATGGAATGAGTGGACCATTCCATTAGGTATTCACTAACTGTATATATTGTACGCTGGCGGGGCACCGTGGAGTATTATATGATGACCTTGATATAAGTGTAATACAGTGAAAGTACCAGGATAACATAAAGTTACAGGCAGTTGGGTGATGTCTTTGGTACTGTTCATGTATATAGGCAACAGTTGCCACGTTTCTATATATTATAAAACAGAATGTAAAGGTGTAATGGAATGGGTGGACCATTCCATTAGGCATTTACTAACTGTATATATTGTACGCTGGTGGGGCACCTTGGAGTATTATATGATGACCTTGAAGTCAGATCAGTTCTTATAAAATATAAGTGTAATACAGTGAAAGTACCAGGATAACATAAAGTTACAGGCAGTTGGGTGATGTCTTTGGTACTGTTCATGTATATAGGCAACAGTTGCCACTATTCTATATATTATAGAAAACAATGTAAAGGTCTAATGGAATGGGTATACCATTCCATTAGGCCTTCACTAATGTACGCTGGTGGGGCACTAATGGAGTATTATAAAGTGTAATACAGTGAAAGTACCAGGATAACATAAAGTTACAAGCAGTTAGGCGATGTCTTTGGTACTGTTCATGTATAGTAACTTTCGTTTTTATATATTGATAATATAAAGAGTTTAAATTGATGTCCAAGTGACTATTATTATTATATAGAGTATTATTCATCAATCACTTGCCCGGGCTACCATCAATCATCATCATCATCAATCAGAGAATGTTAGTAAATAAAATTTTATAAATATGCTGTTTTTTTATTTACATTTATTATGAAAGTATACCAGGATAACATGAAGTTACAGGCAGTTAGGTAATGTCGGATATTGTTCATGTATATTAACTTTATTTTTTATATTATTAAGATATATACTGATAATATAAAGAGTTTGAATTGAAGTCCAAGTCTTCGATCACTCGTCCGGGCTCATCATCATCATTATTTTTCATTAATAAAATTTTGCAAATTTAAGCTGTTTTTTATTTACATTTATTATGGAAGTATACCAGGATAACATGAAGTTACAGGCAGTTGGGTGATGTCTTTGATACTGTTCATGTATTTTTCGCTTTCACTTTCGCTTTTATATTGTTAAGATATATACTGATAATATAGAGTTTGAGTTGAGGTTCAAGTGACTTTATTGTTCGATCACTCGCCCGGGCACAAGAATCATCAAGAAATCGGAGATTTTTCGTTAATAAATATTTTGTAAATTTAAGCTTTTTTTATTTACATTTATGAAAGTACATATCTTAATCCTCTGAAATGTCAAAGCAAAGAGTGGTGAGACGACTGTCATATGAGAACGTGATGTCTCTAATGCTGTTTGTAAGGTGAACCATCGGCTTTTTTAGAACAAGTAAAAAAAACTTCTTCATCGTTACTTCAGTATGAAGGGTTTACAATATATTTTTACTCTATTTGACGGCATCGGTGGTCTAAAGTATTGCCTTACTTTCGATGGTCGCGGGTTCGACTCCTCGCACGCTATTATTTTTGTATTCATAAATATAATTGTTTACATGAATTGTTTGATTTATAAGACCTATAGAAAATTGTCTACTTTGAAGTTATTTTACTAAATTTAATTATGAATGCCGGATAGTAAAAAATACAATATTTACAAATTAGAAGACAGTTATAATGAAAAGAAAACACAAATCTTAATAATTAATGTGACAAATTAGTTAGGAAACATTAAATATAAAATAGTACATCGTATTACTGTGTTCTTTTATATTTAATATATAAAATACTTTAGGTTTTCCGTTAGCTTAAAACTAAATTAACCTTCAAAGTTATACAATATCAAAATATTACAAATTAACCATATCAAATTTATATTTCTAATGACAATTAAGAAGCTTATTCAATATCTTATGGCATATTTAAAAAATGTACAATTCGCACACTTCATACTCCATCTATGGCATTTTCTACTTGCTAACATAAACATAGTGATTAATTACTTAATGTACTAACCACTGTGCATAAAAAATTGGCGGGAAGAAGTTGAAAGTTTTTTACTCTGTATTTATTTGCATTTTTTGAATAATATTTATTTGTAGTATATTATTGTATACAGTAGATACATTTTATGCAGATAACTTATTTTTAGCAACAAAATAAGTAACTACAAAAGCGACAAAATAAATAAATGCCAACTAAATAAAAATCGGTTAACAGATTTTAATTATTAGACTTTTGTTTCAGGGCTTAGTGATTTGACTTACTTCTTCAAATTAAGAAAATACTCTGGGGAAAAAGAACCAAACCTACAATAAAAAAAATATAAAATATTTCACATATTAATACATATTTTTTTCATTAGCTTTGAAGTATTTTGAGACCTAAAAAAACATATTTCAGTAGCATAGGTACATACATTGCAGAATCAATACATAATCACTAAATTTAATACTATTATCAAAATTAATTTTTCATATGTTATTGTTTTGTATTAAGTTAATACAAATAATAATAATATTAATATATTCATACAGATTAAAAATGATATAGTCAATAAATTGGTATTGTTCTTTTTTATTTGTCAAGTAGGCAGGCAAAGGTTGCTAACCATACAGCCTGTTTTCACAAAATTTTCTTAAAAAGAATTTATACCGATAATTAAATCCTTAATACTAATTAGGTAAAATGTCATTGAATTTTTAATATACAATGTTAATGTCAAAAAATATATAGACTGTCAAAAACTAAGAACAAATTATTGGTCAGGAATATCAAAACGGAATGTTGAACGGGTAGTTCCTGTGAGTCTCGCCCATTCTGTGAATATAAAAAAGAACATTAAAAAAACTTCTTATGTAACTGTACTAGCTAACAAACTGAGGGCTCATCTGATGGTATGTGGCAGCCGTGGTTTTTTACATGAACAGTGTCACGGATTGTTACGTAGGGCCTGTGATATTCATGCGCTGCAATTTTGTAGTATTTAGGCATCATGACTAAGTAGTAGTAAGTATTTTATTGCTGTTTCACTTTTCAATAGACTATTTCTTTTTTCCGGACTACTCTAATGCTGTTGGCCGCAGCTGGCCTTTACAGCTTCACCGGACGATAGGGGGCGAGTGCAAATGGCACTCCAAACCAAAGGAAGGACTTATGGAGCGGCTGAAGGCCAACCTCCGCTTGATGAATACGATTTTATTCTGAGGGCACCGCTAATAGTTCGAAGTTCAGCTCAGGCCGTAATTTCGATTTGAGGGGCGTCCGGGGTCGCCGGTGTGGAGCGCGCGGTATTGTGTGGTAGAGGTCGTTGTCTTCGCCGGTGAGGACGGTGTCGTGTGCGTGTAAAAACTTACTGTAAGCTACTTACCCAGCGAAAGTGTACGTTCTCTTGTTTTTATTCAAAGCATTTAGAGCTTCTACTTGTTCTGGGATCAAGCTCCGCTCCAGTGCTTGCAGATTGTCCCACAGGTGGGCTCCGGTGGACGCTTTCACGACGACGCTGCGTCCTAAATCAATTTGGTATCTGAAAAGAAATAAAAGCCTGTCAGTGGCTTTGTTTGTTTTTTATAAATTGTGTAACATATATACCTATAATATATAATAATATATAATATATATATAATAACATATATATATACATATAATATATACCTAGTATAGTACTAGGTATATATTATATGTATGTATATATATATGTATATAGCTGACCCGCGCAAAATTACTTGACATTTCTCATTATATTTCATCCAATTTACATAATATCGTTTTAAATTATAGCCTATTTATTATTCTGATGTATAAGCTATATTACTGTAAAGTTTCGTAAAAATCTGTACAGTAGTGTTTGCGTGAAAGAGTAACAAACATCTATCCATGCTCACAAAGTTTCGCGTTTATAATATGCTACTCGCCCCGGCTTCGCCCGGATGTACATGTATTATACATATAAACCTTCCTCTTGAATCACTCTATCTATATAAAAACACCGCTTCAAAATCCGTTGCGTAGTTTAAAGTTAAGCATACATAGGGACGGACAGACAGCGACAACGACTTTGTTTTATATTTACTCTGTACCTAATAAAATAATATAGGATTATACAAGATTTTTGATGTTTTTGATTTATTTTTACTTTAACAAGTGTAGGCACACAATCAAATTGTTTTATTTTGACTTCGACAAGTGTAGGTACATTTTTAATCGAAATTTTGCCGTAAATATTTCGTTCCTCTCTATTATAAATTTATTTTTTTTATTTATTTATTTAGTATACAATAATAATATATAGATTTACATTTACATGTTTACAATATAATACAATTTTTATATATTTCTATTATCTGTAGTCCCCAAACTAGGTCAGGCCTATATCTTGGGGGCCTGTATATTATTCAGCTGACTCTATTGTTACAGTTATTTACTGCCTTTACCAGACTTGTTTTTCCCGCTATTTCACTATCATCGCGCCATATTTAACGAAGAAATGCGCGCAAATTTGTGAGTATTCATATTTTTCTTACGTTAATTATTTCACTAGAGATTTCACGTGTTTCATCAATGCATTTTGTTTAAAAATTAATATTATTAGATTTTATATTTTATGTACATGTTTAAGATTTATAAAGCTTATTCTTATTAAGATTATAAACGCGAAAGTTTGTGATTATAAATGGATAGTTGGATGAATGGATGTTTGTTACTCTTTCGCGCAAAAACTACTGAAATTATTTGAGGAAACTTTACAGCTTATGTATCAGAATAACACAAGCTTGTACATTTTCATAATTTGTACATTGTCCATGATTATTATATATCCTACACAATTTGTATTGGTCTGTTTTTAGAGATAAATAACTCGATTTTCACCTAACTATGTTTAGCTTATACAATGATACTCGTGAACGAGTGCTGCTTGTAGGGACTGGTCTGCTCTTATCACTACGACTGATTTAATCTATTGTGTTTTTATATTTGAGCCTAAATAAATTAGTGCTGGTTGGTAGTTTGTATTCACACGTTTCGACTTGTAAAATGTGAACTTACAAGGATTGTTTAAAAGAGCAACACACAAGTTTCTTGCTTATTCTTCTTGTGATGAGACAGCTTTCCGAATAAGCGGTAGATTTAAAAAAAATGTTGACTATTCAAAAGTGCTTAAATTAAGTTTATGAATAAATGATTTTCTATTCTATTCTATTCTATTCTATTCTATTCTATTCTAATAGGGATAATTACAATGGAAGTTTGGTGCCACATATCTTTAATTTCTTCTGACAGAGGTATTTTCGTATTTTGATGTTAATGTCCCAATGTACTAGGAGTACAGTTACCTGAGAAGTAGCTGCGCTATGGTCATATTAAGACCTGCCGCCATAACTTTGACCAGGGGATCATCAACTATAGGCTGTAGTCCGCTCCTATACTCTTTAGGGGTCCCTTTAGAGCCTAGTACCCCGTAACATGTGAGTTTGACGTCTCGCTGCTCGCAGAACTCGTGTAATCTTTCTTGAGATAGATATGGATGACATTCCACCTGAAAATATTATAATCTTATATATAAAATTCTCGTGGCACAGTTTTCGTTCCCATACTCCTCCGAAACGGCTTGACCGATTCTCATGAAATTTTGTGAGCGTATTGAGTAGGTCTGAGAATCGGCCAACATTTTTCATCCCCCTAAATGTTAGGGGTAGTCCACCCCTAAATTTATTTTTTATTTTTTAGACAAAATTTTTAGTTTCTATTTTTTTATGATACAACATACAAAAATACATACAATCCTAAATTTTCACCCTTCTATCATCAACCCCTATTTTTTTATAGCGTTATTAATTTATATGGCAAAAAACGTTTGCCGGGACAGCTAGTAATATCTAAAATTCTCGTGTCACAGGTGTCCGTGTTTATACTCCTCCAAAACGGCTTAGCCGATTTTGATGAAATTTTAGATGATTTTATAACTAAATTATAATGTATTTTATACTCCTAAGCGTCAAGGGACGTTTACCCTAAAAATTTTTGTTTTATTTGTTCAAAAAATTTTTTATTGTGTGGATTATATTAATTTTTCATTAAAAAAACACATACAATCTGTAGTAATAATTTTATAATATTAATTTATGTGGGTATGTTGCACGGTTTGTGTTGCTTTAGTATATAGAATTACCTCATTAAATAAAATCAGTTCGAGAATGATCTGACGTTTTACTACATGGTGACAGCGGTGTTCTTACGAAAAATAACATTATTATACTCTAAAAGTACTGATATTTTATACTTTAAAGCGTAATTTTGTAAAAAATAAGTTCAGTAAGTGAAGTGTTATAATAATCATGGAACACGCACGACCACCATCGGAATTAGTACTTGAAGGTGGTCCGGCTGCAAGATCCGACGCGTGGCGAAAATGGTCTAAACAATTTATGGTGTTTATGAAGGCCTCTGGAGTTTATAAAGAGAGTACGGATGTCAAATCAAGTTTACTGGTGAATTTGATTGGATCCGACGGGTACGACATATACACAACATTTAAATACGATAAAAATGAAAATCAGGAGGACTTTGATATTCTCATAAATAAATTTAACGAACATTTTGGTATGAAAAAGAACACCACTATGGCTAGATTCAAATTTTTCACGAGAAACCAAGAGAGAGGTGAAACTATAGATGAGTATGTGACCGCTCTGAAGCTTCTTACGCAGTCGTGTGAATTCGAACATCTGGAGGAAGGTCTCATACGTGACCGAATCGTGTGTGGTGTGACCGACAGCAAGCTGCGTGACCGTCTACTTAGAGAAGACGATCTCGACCTGGGACGTGCCGTGAAAATCTGTCAAGCCAGTGAGATGACCGCGGAGGAACAACGTCAGATAGAAAACGCCAAGTGTGGGACCGAAGCGGGCACATCGTCGGCTGTGGACGTAGTATATGGAGCACGAACGGAGCAACAATGGGGAGCCAGCAGGTACCCGCGCGGCGGCCGCCAGGCGAGGCGAGGCCGCGGGCGGCTGGGCGCGCCTGTTGCGGACGGCGCGGCGGCGGCGGCTCGCGGGTGTGCGGCCTGTGGCTCGGCGCGCTGTCAAGGAGGTTCACAGTGCTCCGCCAAAAGTGTTAAGTGTTTTTCGTGTCATGAAATAGGCCATTTCAAACGGATGTGTCCGGGTAAGCGTTATAAAAATAAAATATATCATATAAAAGAAAGTGCTAGTGATAGTGACGAGGAACTATATTACGTTTCTACACTGGACGGAAATTCTGGCAATAAGAACTGTAAGTGGTACGAAACCTTGTCATTAGTTAGTAATAATAGTAAACAAGTATTCAAATTAGACACAGGGTCGGATTTAAACGTCATGTCAATTAAAACTTTTTTAAATTTGGGTTTGAATACTTCATGTCTGTCTCCTGACAAAACTAAAGCACAGTCTTTTTGTGGTAATTATATTCCTATCATCGGGTCTTGCTATATCGACTGGATTTATAAAAATCGTAAATACAATCTTTATTTTATAATCTCTGATCAAAATTGTCAGAGTGTATTGGGCAAAAATGCTTGTGATGAATTAGGTTTAGTAAGACGAATATTTGCCATAAATATAGACGATTATGATGATCTTTTTCAAGGTGTAGGGAAGTTACCAGGTAAGTACAGTATTATCACAGAAATAGGAGCACAACCAGTAGTGTGTCCAGTGAGAAAAATACCTTTAGGTGTCAAGGATAAATTATTTTTAGAATTAGAACGAATGGAGAATCTGGGGGTGATTAGAAAGGTAGCACATCCGACACCGTGGGTGAATGCTATAGTTGTAGTGGCGAAAAAAGATGGCAGCATTCGCTTGTGCCTAGATCCTCGATCACTAAACCGCGTAGTACACCGCGCGCATTATCCCCTTCCGACTGTTACAGAGATAGCTGCGAAATTGAAAGGAGCACGATTTTTTAGTAAACTGGATGCTCGTTCTGGTTTCTGGATGGTTCAGCTAGATAACCGAAGCGCAGACCTATGTACGTTTGGAACGCCTTTTGGCAGATACCAATTTTTGCGTTTACCATATGGTATCAACTGCGCTTCGGAAGTGTTTCATGCAAAGGTACGGGAGCTCTTAGAGGACCTCGTAGGCGTGGACTCATTCGTAGATGACATTATAGTCTGGGGATCTGATAAGACACAGCATGATGAACGGTTAAAAATGTTACTAGATAGGGCACGTCAAGTTGGTATAAAATTTAACAGAGCTAAATGTGAATTCTGTGTACCACAAGTTACTTACTTAGGACACAAGTTTAATTCAGAAGGTATGCATGTAGACAATAATAAGTTAAAAGCAATTAAGGACATGCCTAAGCCACAGGATCGGAAGTCATTAGAACGTTTTCTTGGAATGATAAATTATCTTTCAAAATTTATACCTAATTATTCTCAGGTAGCCTCCCCGTTACGTCAATTATTAAAAAAAGACACAGTATGGCAGTGGGACTCCATACACGACGCGGCTGTACAGCGATTAAAAGAATTAGTGTGCGGTGCGCCTGTGCTAGCTTTATACTCGTTGACAGAACCGGTCGTGTTATCAGTGGACGCAAGTTCGTGCGCGCTCGGCGCAGTGTTGCTTCAGGGAGGCCGTCCGGTCGAGTTCGCCTCCTCAACGCTCACCGAAACACAGAGTCGCTATGCACAGATAGAAAAAGAGTTGTTGGCGATAGTATATGCTTTAGAACGGTTTCACCAATATATTTTTGGCAGAAAAAATGTAGTAGTCGAAACAGATCACAAACCTTTAGAAGCCTTATTTAATAAATCTTTGAATTCTGTTCCGGCTCGGTTACAACGGATGATGCTTCGCGCACAAGCATATAATTTTAAAGTCATTTATAAACCGGGCAAATATATGCATATCGCCGATGCATTGTCGCGAGCACCGTTAAGCGAATTAATGAAAGATCATATATCAGACGAAATAACAGAACAGTCTTGTTTTTTAATACAAAATATTCGATTCAGTGACAGTAAAATAAGAGCTGTGCGCGATGCTACTGAGAAAGATGATGAATGTAAGTCAATAATACGATACATAATGAGGGGATGGCCGAGTAATAAATTTGATGTAGACGAACTAGTTCGTAGTCAGTGGTCATATAACGAAAGTTTCGAATATATAGACGGTATAATTTTTAAAGACAACCTGGTGTATATACCGCGTAGTTTGCGCGCGGAAATGATTCAGCGGGTGCACGACGGTCACATGGGAATCGACCGGTGCAAGCGGCACGCGCGCGACGTGATGTTTTGGCCGGGCATGTCTCGCGACGTGGAGCGCGCCGTGCGCCGGTGCGCGGCGTGCGTCGAGCGCGCCCACCGCCCGCCGCGGGAGCCGCTCGTGCCGCACAACATACCGGACCTGCCCTGGGCCAAAGTCGGCTCAGACTTATTCCAATGCGGTAAAAAATATTTTCTTTTACTCGTCGATTATTTTTCAAACTTCATAGAAGTAAGTCCGCTGACTAGTATCAATAGTAAAGCTGTAATTCTCGCAATGAAAGATCACTTCTCTAGGCACGGGATACCGCAGGAACTCGTAACTGATAACGGTCCGGCGTATGCTTCAAAAGAATTCAAAATGTTTAGTGAAAGTTGGGATTTCGACCACACTACTACTTCACCTAATTATCCTCAATCGAACGGTCGTAGTGAACGTAGTGTACAGATTATTAAAAATATTCTCATTAAATCCATGAAGTCGGGTACAGATTTTTATTTGGGTCTTCTTAATTTTAGAGCGACTCCACGAGATGGTATAGACGCTCCATCACAATTATTAATGGGACGAAGGCTAAATACCAGGTTACCGTCGCACATTTGTAAGTTGTATCCGTTTCGTGATAATACGAATCAATATAAAACTATTATAAGTAAGCAGAATAATAATAAACAATACTACGACAAACATGCACGCGATTTACCCGAATTACGGCCGGGGGAATCTGTTATAATGATAGATGGATACGGAAACGACCGAAAAAGGGCACGAGTGGATGCACGATCATCACAACCGCGATCGTATTTTGTTAGTGATGACTCGGGTAGGCGTTACAGGCGAAATAGGCGACACCTGATACAGGTTGCAAAAACTGAAATGGGCAAAAGTGATAATCTAGAAGGAGACGAGGAAAGATGGTCAAGTGCGGAGAGTGAGGGTGACGAATGTTATTCATATCAAAAGGTAGATAAAAATACAGCAAATACAGAACAAGATCTTGTAAAAAACCATTTGTCTAATTGTAAAAACCAGAAGCGTACCCCCAGACAGGCGGCAGCCGTAGCTAAGCATGAAATAAAAAAAATGTATAATTAAGTAGTAAGTATTGGAATTAAAATTTTAATACATATACAATAAATTACGATGATTCAGTGTTGCTTAAAATTATAAGATTATTTAAAAGTGTTATTCTAAAAGTTCAATGATATAAAAAATGAATTGCTTAGTTGTATTGTAAGTATACATATATCACCTGTATGTAAGTGTTATAGATAATATTTATTACGATATTAGAATCTTGAAAGTGGCATGTTGAATATATATATGTATAAAATAATATTAATAACCTATTTCAGATTTAGAAATAGTGCTTATTCATGAATATATTACGTTATTACTTTAAGGGATACATGTAGTAATAATTTTATAATATTAATTTATGTGGGTATGTTGCACGGTTTGTGTTGCTTTAGTATATAGAATTACCTCATTAAATAAAATCAGTTCGAGAATGATCTGACGTTTTACTACACAATCCTAAATTTTCACTCTTCTATCATTAATCCCTATTTTTTAATAACGATATTAATTTATATGGCAATACAACGTTTGCCGGGTCAGCTAGTAATAATAATAATAATCTCAGGACAATTCACACAGCGCCATCTAGACCCAAGTTAAGCTAGCTAGAGCTTGTGTTATGGGTACTAGACAACTGATACATACACATAGATTTTTTTTTTGTAAATACATACATATTATACGTAGAAAACACCCAGACCGATACATACAATCTTACTCATGAATACAAATGTTTGTGCCGTGCGAGGTATCGAACTCGCGACTATCGGTCGTAAAGTAGTGTGTCGTAAACCGCTAGACCACCGAGGTCGTCAACATTGTACGTACGTACATAGAAATATTGATCTTATATACTAAATAACAATAGGAAAATGTAAGGTGGGGTGACACAGTTTAGACACGGCAGTGCTTAGTACACAATATTGAGTTTGTCTTACTAGACATTATTAATTGCTATTATTATATTGATGTATCTAGGTAACTATATTCCATAGATCACAACAAAGAAGTCCAATCAAGTGACAAAAAACCGATATAAAAATTACAAGGATTTTTATATCTCGAAATCATTCCGAACTGACGGTAGATTTGACATATCATAAGAGTCTGTAATAGACCTACATGAATAAAGATATTTTGAATTTTGAAGTTTGAATTTAATAAAAAAAAATGGTGGTCAAGCTACCAGGAGCAGTCTGGGAAACTGATGGTGTAAATAAAAAAAGCTATACCTGGTTGATAACAGGCTTGAGCTTCGCTCTCCCCAGTATCCTGGTGAGCTGGATAGAGTTGAAGTTGCTGACTCCGATGCTTTTCACCAGGTCTTTCCCCACCAGCTCTTCCATGCCGTACCAGGCGTCCAAGTAATCATACTCAGAGTATTGAATCACGTTTGCTATCTTTGGTATAGGTGCCTTACCTTCCTTTAATTTAAACAACACTAATATTATTTTAATCTAAATATACACATATATATAACTCAAAGGTGACTGACTGACATAGTGATCTATCAACGCACAGCCCAAACCACTGGACGGATCGGACTGAAATTTGGCATGCAGGTAGATGTTATGACGTAGGCATCCGCTAAGAAAGGATTTTGATTAATTCTACCCCCAAGGGGATAAAATAGGGGATGAAAGTTTGTATGAAACTTTGTCAATTTTAAACCGATCGCACTGAGACTTTGCATGCATAAACTACTATGACGTAGGCATCGTATAAGAAAGGATTTTGATAAATTCCACCCCTATGGGATAAATTAACGCGAGCAAAGCCGCGTGCAAAAGCTAGATAATATTATAAATGCCAAAGTGAGTATGGATGGATGTTTGTTACTGTTTTACGCAAAAACTACTAAACGGATTTTGATGAAACTTTTCTGAAATATAGCTCATACATCAGAATAACATATAGGCTATAAATTTCATGCGAGTGAAACCGCGAGCGCAGCTGGCCTTTCATATATATGTATGTTAGTCTATAAGGTATTTATAATATGGGCAATTAGTAGCCTATACATATAAATAAAATTGGAGTGTCTGTTTGTAATATTGAAATAACCGTTTTTTACTACATGCATATGAATATAAATACGGTACATACATCAAAATATAATTTTTGACCATTTTTGTCTGTTTGTTCCGGCTAACCTCTGAAATGGCTGGACCGATTTTGACGGGACTTTTATTGGCAGGTAGCTGATGTAATAAGGAGTAACTTAGGCTACTTTTATTCTAAAAACATAAGGTTAAATTCCACGCGGACGAAGTCGCATGTACAGCTAGTAAATAAATAAGATTAAAAGCATGTTTCTTACCTTAAAAGACATGGGGTTATGGATGAGGTATAAATCAAAGTAATCCAGCTGCATCGCAGTCAGGGACGCTCGGCATGCCACCTCCACCAGGTCAGGTCGATGGTACGTACTCCATAACTTCGATGTGATGAAAAGCTCCTCTCTGAAAACAAAATTAAGATACCCTTTTCATTTAAGTCTATTATAGAAGAAGATATGTGATATATTATGATAAAAGTCCCTAAATAAATGTAAGAATAAAAAAAAAGTCTATTATAGATAAATAGATAATTGAAATAATATCATATTAAATAAAATAAAATCATATATCGAGCAGCATCCTTTTTAAAATGTGACGGAATTTCTGAATTCCAATTTAAAATTATGACATTTTCCATTAAGTGACTTTTATTATATATCTTATATATAAAATTCTCGTGTCACAGTTTTCGTTCCCATACTCCTCCGAAACGGCTTGACCGATTCTCATGAAATTTTGTGAGCGTATTGAGTAGGTTTGAGAATCGGCCAACATCTATTTTTCATCCCACTAAATGTTAGGGGTAGTCCACCCCTAAATTTTTTATTTTATTTTTTAGACAAAATTTTTAGTATCCATTTTTTTATGATACAACATACAAAAATCCATACAATCCTAAATTTACATCCCCCTAAATGTTAGGGGTAGTCCACCCCTAATTTTTTTTTTATTTCAAGGCAAAACAACGTTTGCCGGCACAGCAAGTATGTTATATATTATTTTGAATATATAAATTGTAATTGTGACATAATTATCTTAAAAATGTAATTACTATTAACGTGCTAGTGTGTAACGAGATTTGTTACATTTGTGAATAAAACAATATGAAATACTTTATTTTAATTTTTCCTAGCTACCCACCCTGGCTTCACACAGATGTACATGTATTATATATATAAACCTTCCTCTCGAATCACTCTATCTATTAAAAAAAACCGCATCAAAATCCGTTGCGTAGTTTTAAAGATTTAAGCATACATAGGGACGGACAGCGACAGCGACTTTGTTTTATACTATGTAATGACGTACAAAATCAGTGATGCAGAGCCTTTGAGGCATGTAAAATTCCATGCTAAAATACAGTTTTGTGGAGAACTGGTGCCTGTACCAGGTATCCGAAGAATCTGTGTCACGGGTCGCCTTTGTTGTGGGTACTAGTACTAGGTAACTGATACAAATACATATATATATATATATGTATATATATATATATATATTTCGTAAATACATATTATACATAGATACAATCTAGACCGGGACAAACAATCGTATTCATGAATACAAATGTTTGTGCCGTGCGAGGAATCGAACCTGCGACCATCTGTCAGACGGTGTGCTAAACCACTAGACCACCGAGGCCGTCAATTTTTTATTTTTGACTAGTTGTACCCACGACTCGAATATAACTTAAATTTTTCTAAAATAAAAGTAGCCTAAGTTACTCCTTATTACATCAGCTACCTGCCAATAAAAGTCACGTTAAAATCGGTCCAGCCATTTTATAGATCAGCCAGAACAAACAGACAGACAGACAATAATTGTAAAAAATGTTATTTTGATGTATGTACCGTATTTATATTCATATGCATGTAGTAAAAAACGGTTACTTCTTCTTATAAACAGACACTCCAATTTTATTATATTTATAGATTGAGATTTTGATTTGACAAGCAGACACTTTTTTTATAGTGTGGAAAATATTGAAAACCCCTCTTCATCCCTTTTTTTTTTTATTGGGTTGTTTGGGCTATTTTCAGATGTTTTTTTTTGTGGATGATAATGGAATGGTGCACCCGCCTGCGTTAACGGTTTACGCTGGCGGGGCACCAGTGGAGGATGATAAGATGTGCATGAGGTCAGGTCAGTTAGCCCATCGTGACAAATTCACCGGGAATTTATCACGATGGTTTCCAGGGGGAACGTGGAGAGCTGACATGGTACATTGCTAGTAATGGGATCATTAGTCCACATTACTAACAATCACATTTCCCCCCTATTTTCAGATGTTTGTAGCACCTGTAGCACTGCGACCTACATAGATCTATTGTGCTCGCCCTTTTTCAGAGTTCGCTACCTAGATCCGTTAGGGACAAGAATTGAAGGATATTCTTAGGAGCGATGGTTTTTATCTCCTCAGGAAAGAGCGTAAACTCTGTGAGTGTAAGAGTGTCATACCTCTTACGGAGGGTTTTTTTGAAGGAAATCCTTACCCACTAGAAAACTATACGGTGTACCTACGAGCGTCATTGCCGGAGTCGTGATGTTGCATTAGTACTCGTATTCTACCGTGACTCTGGCGGGCCCTATAGATGGTGTTAGGGCAGGCCCCACCTCGTTGATAGGGCGACCTACTTTGCCCTACTCAATTTGGAAGTGTGAGTAATCACATACGCAACTAAGTAAAGCCTTCACTAAACAATATTTGGCATAAAAAATAGAACGTAAAATTTTCATATTAGGCCGCCTATTCGATGGAGTCCCCGTCCAAGTCAAACGGGTATCGAAATTACGACGTCCCGAGCTGAGATTTGAACCCCTAGCCGGTGCCCTCAGTCGTATCCGTCAGGCGGGAGTTGGCCCTTCAGCCGCTCTAAGTCCTTACATTGGTTTGGAGTGCCATCTACACTCGCCCCTTATTGTCCGGTGAAGCTGGAAAGGCCAGCTGCGGCCAGCATTAGAGTAGTCCGAAAAACTCTGGACCTATTTTGTTTTGCTCTAATACATTAAAAATTCGTAATTTTTAAAATATTATTAAATTGTCTATGGTAACTAACCTGGTGACTGTACCATCGTCAATTTTGGCCTTGATCGCCTCCCCGACTTCCGCTTCGTTGCCATAGATGTATGCGGTGTCTATGGCACGGAAACCAAGGTCAATAGCAGCCCCAATTATATGTCGGATTAAACGTTTGTCCATCTGAAGGAAAAAATATCTATATTCAGATAATAATAAACATATTTAATATATAATTATAATTTTTCTAAAATAAAAGTAGCCTAAGTTACACCTTATTACATCAGCTACTTGCTAATAAGAGTCTCGTCATAATCGGTTCAGCCATTTCAGAGATTAGCCGGAACAAACACACAGACAGACAAAAAATATTTTGATGTATGTACCGTATTTATATTCGTATGCATGTAGTAAAAAAAGGTTATTTCAATATTATAAACAGATATTACTCCAATTTTATTTATATGTATAGATAAGTTATCCTGAATCATTTTCAGTTTTCATTTAATTTGTCCCCTCCGATCGATCCCCCGTCCAATTCAAACAGGGATCGAAATTACGACGGCCTGAGCCGAGGTTCGAACCCCTAGTGGTGCCCTCAGACTAAAGTCGTATCCGTCAGGCGGGAGTTGGCCTTCAGCCACTCCATAAGTCCTTCCTTTGGTTTGGAGTGCCAACTGCACTCGCCCCCTAACGTCCGGTGAAGCTGTAAAGGCCAGTTGCGGCCAACAGCATTAGAGAATTCCGAAAATTAATTTGTTATTGTCGAATTTTATTAGTTTACTAGCTGTTCCCGCGACTTCCACCGCGTGGAATTTAACTTTGCTATTAGAATAGAATAGAATAGAATAGAAAATCATTTATTCAAATAAACTTACATTGAAGCACTTTTGAATAGTCATTACATTTTTTAATCTACCGCTCGTTCGGAAAGCTGTCTTCACAAGAAGAACGAGCAAGAAACTTGCGTGTTGCTCTTTTAAATAATTTTATTATTACTTTACATTTTTAAGTTTAAATGTGTGAATACAAACCACCAATTAGCACTAATTCAATTAAATACTCAAATAGAAGAAATATTGAATATATAACCAACTGGTTAAACAATTAATAAGAGGAAATCAGTCATAGTGATTAGAGCAGACCAGTCCCTACAAGCAGCACTCGTTCACGAGTATTCCTGTAAAAACAACTAAAGACCTAAAAATACTTACCAAGGCAGTTCCTAAAGCCAAAACCGGCATCTCAACTCCATTCCTGAGAATCAAGTAGGTCATATTCATCGCTCTGCCATACTGCAGTTTCGCGCTGGTCAACTCTGCAGTTCTCTGGTCGTACTCCTCGTCGGTGAGGCTGACCGTCTGGACGGTAACGGTAGGTTTTGTGTGGATTCGCTCTATGTTTGGATGATTACTACCGTACTGGACTTTTGTTGTTTTTTGCTGGAACAAAATCATTCAAATCTATACTCTATACATATAAATAAAATTGGAGTGTCTGTTTGTAATATTGAAATAACCGTTTTTTACTACATGCATATGAATATAAATACAGTACATAAAAAAAAAATAACTTTTTAAAATTTTTGTCTGTCTGTCTGTCGGTCTGTTTGTTCTGGCTAATCTCTGAAATGGCTGCACCGATTTTAACGGGACTTTTTTTGGCAGGTAACTGATGAAATAGGGAGTAAATTAGGCTACTTTTATTTTTGAAAAATAAAGTTAAATTTCACGCGAAGTCGCGGGAACAGCTAGTGTTAAATAAAATTCAAGATATTATTTTTCAATACTATATCATATTGAAATAAAATGAAAATGTTATGTCGAAAAAATAAAAAATATATATATTTGGGGGTAATAATAATACTTAGAACAACCCTTATCACTTAGGGTATAAAAAATAAATAGTAACCGATTCTCAGACCTACTGAACATGCATATAAAATTTCATAAAAATCAGTCAAGACGTTTCGGAGGAGTATAGTAACAAACACCACGACACGACAATTGTATATACATATATATATAATATTTATATCATAACTAGCTTTTCGCCCCGATTTCGTACAGGTGTACATGTTATATATATAAACCTTCCTCTTGAATCACTCTATCTATTAAAAATAACCGATTCAAAATCCGTTGCGTAGTTTTAAAAATTTAAGCATACATAGGGACGGACAGACAGCGACAGCGACTTTGTTTTATACTATGTAATAATGGTCAATTTTAAAAGTTTATTAATATACTATTTTTTTTTATTTTATATCTGACTAATTGTATTTCACCCAATTTACATATGTTTTTAAATTATTTAAATGTTTGCGAGGGGACGCCCTAAGAAAAATGGATGGATTGTGTGAAAGATGATATGAATAAAAGAAGAGTATGTTTAGATATGACGACTGATAGAGAGCAGTGGAAGAGAATGACATACTGCGCCGACCCCAAATAATGGGATAAAGGCAAGGCAATGATGATGAAATGTTTGCGATATGTCTTTATTTATATGCCAGTTTTGTTTTTTATTGTAATAATAGTAATTTACAGCTATATATAGTAATGAAGAACAGTATACAAAAATTAGTGATCAGAAGTACAATAGTTGAAGAATGTTTTTAGAAGAAGTTAAATTGTAGATTCTTTTTCCCGCGCCAAACGCAACGCGCCACAGAGTCAAAATATACGGACGGCGCGCAGCCGCAGTAGGACGATGAGCACATTATGGCAGTATGCACGATGTTAATACTATGAGCACAGATAACATAATCTATGTGTTATTCTGATGTATAAGCTTTGCAAAGACTTTGAAATGAAATGATTTTATTTTGCGAGAAATGTGGTGTGCACAGATGTTATAAAGTACATATGGTTCCATACAATCCGTCTTATATGAAGACATGCAAAATTTTATATTAGTTATGCTTCTGTAAATAATTACACAATTCTGTCTTTCAGATAGCATATTACATTATACAATTTTAAGAAATTATTATATCTATATTATTATTTAGTCATTATATGTCAATATTAGTACTGTTATGTCATTACTATTATATTAATATAATCCAATTCGTAACTTTCGTAATTTTACCATCAAAATTTAAAAATTCTTTTACTGTATAAAAACATCTCTCAATTAACCAGTTGCGTAATCTATTTTGAAAAATTTCAAAAGACATTTCTCTAATAGTTTGAGGTATTTTGTTGTAAATTTTTATACACATTATTCTACAATTTTAATGAAATAGCGCACTATTTACTGCAGGCATTCTCAATTTTGTAGGATCTCTTTGAGTAATTTTATTACATTCTTCAATTTTATTCTTTGTTATATACTATGTAATAATGATAAAAAGAAATTATTGTATCATTTCTTAGTACAGACAATATCAACAATCAATTTTAAGTTTACAAGCGATAGTTACGATGTACGAAGAAAACGAGTAAAAAAGTGGGTAGATGCAATTTACGAGGATTAATATATTTGATATAAAACTTATATATTTATAAATAGCAAAGAATAAAATAGAATATAGATATAAGAATAGAATATAACATAAATAGAATAGAATAATCATATGTTTCACTATCTACTTGGAATACAGTTTCAACACAAGAAACTTGTGTATTGCTCTTTTAAACAAACATTTGAGCAACTTAACAGTTTTAGCTCAAAATTTGTGTGAATACAAACTACTAAAGAGAATTCATTATAGATTATACAAATACAAATAAAAAAATCAAATAAACTTAATATAAACACTTGAATAGTCAATTTTTTCTATTCTACCGCTCATTCGGAACGCAGACTCATCACAAGAAGAACGAGAAATATGGATGTAAAGACGGATATTCTAATTACTAATTAGAATATCCGTCCTATTACTCGCCCCGGCTTGGCGCGGGTGTACATGTATTAGACTATATATACTTCCTCTAGAATCAGTATATCTATTAAAAAAAACCGCTTCAAAATCCGTTGCGTAGTTTTAAAGATTTAAGCATACATATATAGGGACGGACAGCGACAGCGACTTTGTTTTATACTATGTAATGATACTTGTACTTACGTAGAATAAAATTAGGAACAGTAAACTCAATTTGCACACTGTCCAAAACATAATAATCACGAAACACGTACAAAAATCACCACAATACAGTTACGACTTTAGTTTTTGAATGTCACAGTGATACTGACATGAGACTGATCAGTAATGCAAATGAATGTTGCTAGTAATATACAACGCGAAAGTTATTATACACATCACCCAACTGCCTGTAACTTCATGTTATCCTGGTACTTTCACTGTATCACACTTATTATTTGATAAGAGCATGGATCTGACCTGACTTCGCTCAACCTGTCATCCTCCTCTGATGCCCCGCCAGGGTGTACCGTTAGTGCAGGCGGGTCCATCATTCCATTGTGTAAGACCTTCGGTTCTTTAATATATAGAAAGTGTCAACCGTCGCCTATATACATGAACAGTACCAAAGACATCACCCAACTGCCTGTAACTTCATGTTATCCTGGTACTTTCACTGTATCACACTTATTATTTTTTAAGAGGGTGGAACTGATCTGGCTCCAAGGTCATTCATTATATAATTCTCCACTGGTGCTCCACCAGCATACAATAACAGTTAGCGAAGGCCTAATGGAATGGTACACCCATTCCATTAGATCTTTACATTCTGTTCTATAATATATAGAAGAGTGGCTGTCGCCTATATACATGAACAGTACCAAAGACATCACCTAACTGCCTGTAACTTCATGCTATCCTGGTACTTTCACTGTATCACACTTATTATTTTTTAAGAGGGTGGAACTGATCTGGCTCCAAGGTCATTATATAATTCTCCACTGGTGCTCCACCAGCGTACAATAACAGTTAGCGAAGGCCTAATGGAATGGTGCACCCATTCCATTAGATCTTTACATTCTGTTCTATAATATATAGAAGAGTGGCTGTCGCCTATATGACCAGTACCAAAGCCATCACCTGCTTGTAACTTCATGTTAACCTGGTACTTTCACTGTAAACGCGGAAGTTTTTTTCTATACTACGATGGTGGCAATCAAGCATACGGCCCATCTGATGGTAAATGGTTACCGTAGCTTATGAACGCCTGAAACATATATATATATATATATTACATTTATTTTTATTAAGGTGTTTGGGCTTAGACCTGGTGACTTATGGGCTTAGACTTGGTGCTTAGACCTGTGCATCATGACCTGTAGAGATCTATTGTTTTTTTTTATACTACGATGGTGGCAATCAAGCATACGGCCCATCTAATGGTAAATGTTATGGTAGCCTATGAACGCCTGAAACACCAGGGGTATAACGTGCGCGTTGCCGACCCTTAAGAAATTTTAATATACCCTTCTTATACATGAACAGTACCAAACACATCATCTAACTGCCTGTAACTTCATGTTGTCCTGGTACTTTCACTGTATCAATCTTATTATCTATATTAATAATTTCGTCTAGGCGTACGGTAGACTCGAACGAAACTATGTGAATAACAAAACATAAAAAAAATATTGATTTCGAGTCGACGACATATATCCGCAAAATTCGGATTATGGAGTATTTCGTTAAATTCTAATGACACTGACAAACAAACCGCAGTCGCCATCTTTTCATTTCACTAGCAATTTCTTCGGTCGTTGACGCTTCGCGAAAATATTGTTTTTGACACTTTTTTATGATAAAAGAGTATGTGTTTTTTCTTTAAACCTGAAATTGGCCGATTGCGAGACAAATTTGGCAATTTTTTTGTTATTAATTTGTTTCACGGCTCTGGATACAAGTCCTTTTTAGCCCAACTTAAAGTTTTACAAAAAAATAAAAATAATTTGTATAAAAACTTTTGCATTTATTTACTGTATTTATTAAACACAATGAACGGAGCGTTACAAATCTATGCTTACTTTTAATATTCCATGAGAACCGATGACTATAGCAATATCTACCCACATTTCATCCGAGCGAAGCCGGGTTTTCAGCTAGTTAACATTATAAACGCGAGTTTGTGAGTATGGATGGATGTTTGTTACTCTTTCAAGCAAAAACTACTTAATGCATTTTGGCGAAACTTAACGAAATTATAATTTAATAGATTACATAGGTTAGGCTTAGGTTATAATTTAAAGAGATATCATACATTATTTCATAATGACATTTTTTGTGATGTCATTTTTATTCACATTTATCATAATACTACGTCCTTCGTCGCATAATATCTTTTTAAATTATAACCTAAGCCTAACCTATGTAACCTAAATATTATAGTAATTAAGAAGCGTTTAATATCTTATATATAAAATTCTCGTGTCACAGTTTTCGTTCTAGGACTAGGGACAGCTAGTTTTATAGGATGGTAATCCTGGACCAATTACACAGCGGCATCCAAATATCCTAGACGGATCTAAGTAGCGAACTCTAACAAAAGGACAAGTACATTGTTAAGGTTTCTTAAGTGTGGGTGTTGCTGACGTACTGGCCATATACTTTTATACTTCATATATTGTATTTTTTGCAAAGAATTTTATTATATATTTTTTGTATACAGAACTTTAATATCAAATAAACATTGTGAGAGACAAGAACAGTGGGCATCGCGCACGTGATACCCCTGGTGTTTCAGGCGTTCATAGGCTACCATAACATTTACCATTAGATGGGCCGTATGCTTGATTGCCACCATCGTAGTATAAAAAAAAACAATAGATCTCTACAGGTCATAATGCACAGGTCTAAGCACCAAGTCTAAGCACATAAGTCACCAGGTCTAAGCCCAAACACCTTAATAAAAATAAATGTAAGTCCAAGCTAAGCAGTTTCTCTGTTATGGTTACAAAACTGATATATGATATAAACACTTAAATGCCTTTTTTTTTCAAAATATATACATATAAAATAATATACATAGAAAATACCCAGACTGATACAAACAATCATACTCATGAATACAAATGTTTGCACCGTGCGAGGAATGCTATGATATAATAAGAGAAGTATAAGAGGAATCCTATGATGAAATAGATGAATAAAAAATGATTCTTACTTCGAATAAGGCAATCATCATTGACACAGACTTCTTCCTCGGTCTCTCGTGCACTTCTATCTCCTTTTCCTTCTTTTGAACTTCTCCAGTTTCGAAGGAGTTCATTCTTATTTTTGTTATCATCTCATGAACTTTACCCTTAACAGATTCTCCTAAATCTAATTCTGCAACAGATTTCGGTCTTTCCCTACTATATTCTTCTATACTTTTAGAATCTCTGCGTACTGTTTCCGTCTGATTAGGATCTTCAGTCCTGTAAAATACTGAATCATCGTCTGAATTTGAAATTTCAACGTTATTTTCATACTCTGTACGTTTATTTTCAACTGGTTCTAAAACGAGTTCGTCTATTACTATATTATTGTCATTGATATTAATTTCTAGTTTCTTTTCTTCAATATTAATTGGTAACGGCTCTGAGTACTCTGTTTTTATCGGTTCCAGAATTTCAACTGTATTCTCAACGAGAATAGGTTCATTTTCAATTGTATTATTTGGTTCCGTAATAATATCTTTATGAATAGTCTCAATATGAATTTCTTTAGGTTGACTTATATCTTGTAGATTTTCGGTTGCATTTTCTACTAGCTGAATACTATTATCTAGAACTAAAGGTTGGTCAATCGATTCAGCAATAGGTTGACTAACTTTAGCATCGACAACTTCAATTTTTTGATATTTGATCGTCTCTTCAACTATTTCCCCTTTGTTTTTTGAATTTATTGCTTCAGAATTAGTTTCAGTCTTAACTTCTATGATATTAGAGTGTAAATCTCTTTGTATTGATGCTTTTAGGACTTCATCGACTATTATAGGTTTTACATATACACTTTCATGTGATATAAAATCAGTTTTTGTTTCAAGTGGCTTACGAGTCGGTATTCCATTCTGAATTAGTCTAGGGTTAGGTGGTGCTTTAACGTCTGGACGCTTGAAATAGAAATATAGAACTTAAAAGTATTAACCTTAAAGTATAATATAATTTATTTTGAACGTGTATATATATTTTTTAAAGAACTGATGTGCAAACAAGCTGACTGCACCTCTGAAGATTAGTGATAAAATTCCTATAATAATAATTTCAGGATAATTCACACAGCGCCATCTAGACCCAAGTTAAGTTAGCTAAAGCTTGTGTTATGGGTACAAGATAACTGATACAAATACATAGATTTTTTTTTCATAACTAAATATATATTATACCTAGAAAACACCCAGACAGATACAAACAATCATACTCATGAATACAAATGTTTGCCGTGCGAGGAATCGAACCCGCGACTATCGAATGTTAAGCGGTGTGCTGGACTGCTAGACCACCGAGATCGTGAGACATTATGTGACAATATAAATATATTATGATGTCATGCATTGCCATTCCGGAGGACTACGATGGCTTCCAATGGGACCGCGTAAGGGTTGAGTAACATGTTACAGTCCTAGCAATAAAGTTACTAGCCCTCATTATTCACTGAAAAGAGTTACTAGTAGCTTTTATCGTCATCATCATCATCTCAGTCCAGAAGACGTCCACTGCTGGACATAGGCCTCCCTCAAAGCGGTAGAATCAGAAGAATATTATATGACTATTAAAAAACACTAATATTTATTCACACATTATGTGAAGAATAAAATAGAATAGAAATTAATTAATTTTAATAAAGATTATTTCTATTTTATTCAATTCTTCAGATGTTGTACTGTATAAAAAAATCGTGTTACTATAGTCGTATTTTTATTAGTGGTATTTTACACTATTTTTATTTCATCACATAACACTGACAACATTGTAAACATCAGTTGACTTCGTCTAATTGAAAATACGACTATAAGTATAGAAATTAAACATTACCTCAAACATTGCTATCTTCGACAACACTGATTTCCTTTTCGGTGTTTCCTTTACATTAACATTATTGCTTTGTTTCGTATCATCAATTTTATCAAAAGATCGTAATCTGCTTAGTATTTTACTGACTTTGCCTGGAGTATAGTTTGAGTCATCACCTTCTTTATCATTTTCTACGTTTGCTTCTAATTTTACAGAGTTGTCGCCTTTATCTTCTGCAGGTTTAATATTTTCTGTAGCAGATTGGTTGTCTTCTATATCAACTGATTCTGGTTTAATGTCTATAATAGCATTTACTTCCATCACTAATGGTGTTTCGACAATTTCTTCTATCTTCAAAGTAATATCATTTTGGCGTTTTTCAATATTGTCTTTTGTAATTCTGTCAATATCTTCTTGTGTTGCCACTTTTACTGGTTCAGCTTCGGTCAATTTAATATTCGACTGTTCTGATGACTTTATACCCGTAGAGTTATTGTTAATATTAGTATCTTCTGGAGCCAATGTTTCAGCGGTAGTTTCATTTTCTGTATGCGCATCAACAGTATTATTAGGTTTATTGTTATTGCTTTGTTTTTCATCATCTTTAGAGCTATATCTAATTCGAGGTGGTTTTTGTGGTATTTCTCTAGTTACTGGACCTTTATTATCTGTATTACTAATAATCACATCATCTCTAACTTGTTTTTGTAGCAAGTTTCTGTTAATTGGTATTTTACTATCGATTTTAGCATCATTTATTTTAGATTTCTCAATTACCATCTGTGCAGGAATGTTGTTTGTTTGCAATTTGTTGTCATCATCGCCTCGTTTTGATATTTGTGGTATTCTTGATTGTTTAACTTTATTAATATCAATCGGTTGTACTTTATTGTCTTCATAATCATGAATTATTTCCTCGAATTCATCCTCAAGCTGTACTGAATCCTTAATATTGTCACTAGTATTGTCAGTAACTTGTTTTGGCTCATGATGGATAACTTCGTCGTATATTTTATCAAACTCGTCTTCCACTTCATGACCTTCGTCAAAAGCAGGTGCAGGTGTATTGGGCGGTGTTGTAATTTTAACCTCTTTAGGTTTTAGAAAGGATGAACGTTTCGAAGGTGTTGGAATCTGGAATGAAATTGAAATATCTTTATACATGTAGGTATTACAGATGCTTATGGTAAGTCAAATCTACCGTCAGTTCAGAATATAGGCGAGAAGAACTGAAAAAAGCTGTGATCCAACTTTTTTTAATGAAATAGTACATAATGACTAAGAGTAATACATTGAATGAAATTATTTCAGCCGCCAAGCAGCTGAATTTGTTTCGGCTATAGTTTGAAATAGGACATTGAAGTTCTCTTTAGTCCTCTGGGCTCCCTCCGATCGATTCCCCAATAATTCAAACAGGAATCGATATTACGACGTCCTAAGTCGAAGTTAGCCCTTAGCGATGTTGACGAAAGTCGTATCCGTCAAGCGGGAGTTGGATTTCAGCCGCTCCATAAGTCCTTCCTTTGGTTTGGAGTGCCATCTACACTCACCCCCATCGTTCGATGAAGGCCAGCTTCGGCCAATAGCATTGGAATGGTACGAAAAAAGTCATCGGGAATGGCAATGCATGAGTGGTATCACGGTTATCTCAGAATAACGTGATGTCTGTAATTCTGTTTATGTAGAATAGAATAGAATAGAATAGAATAGAATAGAATAGAATAGAATTGAATAGAATAGAATAGAATAACATTTATTACATCACACATCACAACACAATAAAAACTATGCTGACAGCTGCACATAAATGATTATATAAGATAAACGTAAATAAAAGACAATTCATTAGAGATGAAATCATTATATACAAAAAAATAAATAAATAAAGGAACAAAATAGTAACAAACAAATAAATAATAATAATAATAATAAACCAATACTAAGTAATAATAATAAAGTAAAATGCATTTCCTATACACCACTGCGGAGCATCGTCACCGCGTCACTGTGTACTGATCTGTGTGTAAGGGACCCATCTCAGCATTATGCCATGACAAATGCCACGACGCTGATTTTCAGTGGAACCCCGTATATAGGCGACGGTTACCACTTACCATCCAATCCGATCACGAACAAGCTGTCAGGTTGTTGGATCTTTTTTTATAAACTACTATGTTGGGAAACAAGCATACGGCCCATCTGATGGTAAATGGTTAACGGTTTCAGGTTGTGAACACTGATTAAATTTTTTATTCTTTGCGATAGCATATACTGGTGGTCACTCTATTCTCCCAAATTTGAATTTTAATAACTGTATTTATCATAAACATGTTCCACTATTATTTGAAAAAAATACGAGCTGAGTTTCTTGTCAGTTCTTCTCATCTCGATATCATTCCGAAATGACGGTCGACTTGACATATCATAAGAGTCTGTAATAGACCTACATGAATAAAGATATTTTGAATTTGAATTTGAACGTAGCTTATAGACGCCTAAAACACCAGGCGTGTCACGTGCGCGTTGCCGACCCTTAAGAAACCTTAATATACCCTTCTTGAAAAACCCCATGCTGTAGTCTCGTCAGAAAACCTCGACAGGAAGTTCATTTCCCAATCTAAGTGTACGCGGGAGGGAGATCTCTGAAACCCCACTGTCCGAAACCACTTAGGTTCTAGCGTGTAGGGATGAATTCCCTATCGATGGCGAGCGGTGCGATGGTAAAAGGTAGCCGTAGGCATCATGTCGAGCAATTCCGCAGAACTAAGTCCGTTGTATAATCGGTAGATCACACAAAGCGAAGCGAAGTCTCACCTCAAGCTCAATTTTAGTTTTTTAAACTAGTTTTCATTAAAAAATAATGTGAATTGATGGTATACCTTACTTGCAGCATCATTTTTCTTTTCATTAGCGTCCTGGTTGATATTTTTAAACTTTTCTAAGGCCTGTCTGAACTGCGACGTTGGTATTCTGGACCTTCCTTTATTATCGTTGTAGGTTTCTCTTTCAGTCCCGGGTGTTAGAGTTTGTGCTGCAGTTTTTGTGGCGTCAGCGTTAGTCTCGTCGTGTTTTCCGTTGACTTCATTGTTCTAGAAAGAAATGGAAATAATCTTTATTCTAATAAATCTAGATATAATCTTTATCCTAATAAGACTACTTTATTCTAATAATCTATAAGGATGGCCTCGATGTACTCTCCGTCTTATTCGCCATATTGGACGGTCCAGGTTGTTACCATCCTCGTATAAAATAGGAAGTGAAAGAAAGAAAGAACAGTGAAAGTACCAGGATAACATGAAGTTACAGGCAGTTGGGTGGTGTTTGGTACTTCATGTATATAGGCGACGGTTGACACTCTCTATATATTACAGACCATTTATTTTTATATTTGGCGACCCCGGTAGTCTAGCGGTTTAGCACATCACTTTTCTTCCCATGGTCCCGGGTTCGATTCCTCGCACGGCACAAACATTTGTATTCATGAGTATAATTGTTTGTATCAGTCTGGGTGTTTTCTATGTACAATATGTATGTATTTACGAAAAAATCTATATATTTGTATCAGTTGTCTAGTACCCATAATACAAGGTTTAGCTAGCTTAACTTGGGTCTAGATGGCGCTGTGTGAATTGTCCTAAGATTATTATTATTATAAGCACTTTTCGATAGTCATATTTTTTTATTCTACCGCTCATTCGGAATGCTGTCTCATCACAAGACGGATGAGCAAGAAACTTGCATGTTGCACTTTTAAATAAATATTGTTTTAAGTAAATACACATTAATAATGCATGCGACAATCAACATAGAAACCGCTACGCATTCAATCTTTGTGCAATCAGATAACATTGTCAGCGCTATGAATTTTAAGTTAGATTTCTTCTACAAAAATATTATCATTTATAAACTTTTCAATTTTATAATGTTTTTTGAAATGAGTTCAGAAGATTTTTAAGAAGACTCCATTGCAGGCAAATTTCTATGTCAGATTCACCTCCGGTCCCTCTAAGAAACTGTCAATTTCCCCTAAGAAATTTCCACCTGACTTGACCTCATACTCATCCTATCATCCTCCACTGGTGCCCCGCCAGCGTATACCGTTATCGCGGCCGGGTGCACAATACTTAGAAGACCTTCGGTTCTATAATATATAGAGATTGTCAACCGTCGCCTATATACATGAACAGTACCAAACACATCACCTAACTGCCTGTAACTTCATGTTATCCTGGTACTTTCACTGTATCACACCTATTATTTTACTAGCGCGCGATTTTGTCCGTGTGGAATTTAACTTTCCTTGTCTTAAATAAAAGATTTTTTTCTAAAATGAAGCTAGCCTAAGTTACTCCTTATTATATCAGCTATCTGCCAATAAAAGTTTCGTCAAAATTGGTCTAGCCGTTTCAGAGATTAGCCGGAACAAATAAACAGACAGACAAAAACGGTAAAAAGTGTTTTTTTGGTATATGTACTGTATTTATATTCATATGCATGTAGTAAAAAACGGTTATTTCAATATTACATACAGACAAAAACTACTCGACAGATTTTGATGAAACTTAACAGTAATGTAGCTTATACATCAGAATATGTAGGCTATAAATTTCAGGTGCGTGAAACCGCGGGCACAGCTAGTATGTTTATAAATAATTTTTATTCTGTGATTAGTTATATAGTGAGAGATATGATTTCCAAGGAATTGATAATAAATTGATTAACATTAAAATTATTGCATATTTAACACACCATTTTACCGCATTTAATAGTAATATCTTTTGTTTATGGTTTAGTAAACAGGAAAATATATTTTGTCAGTGGGAAAGGCATAGATGTGTGTGTAGAGTTTGTGTCTATGATCATTAGATTTCAAAAATAATTTCGTTACATTGGAAAAGGAAAAAGAGAAGCGTGTCTATAGTTTGTGTCTATGGTCATTAGATTTCGAAAATAATTCTCAAGTATATTTTTACTGTGAATATATTACTAAACTTCCTTCACTCACGCTTCGTATCTGTGTCTATGGTCGTTAGATTTCAAAAAGATTATTTTTTTCTGTGAATGTATTACTAAACTTCCTTCGCCCATGACTTCGTATCAGAGTCTATGGTCATTAGATTTCAAAAGGAATTCTCAAGTTTATTTTTTCTGTGAACATAATACTAAACTTCCTTCACTCTATGTAGACTTCATATGTGTCTATGGTTATAAGATTTCAAAAAAGAATTCAGAATTTTTTCTTAAACCAAACATTAGGGATATTAAAGATGTCGCTTGATTTATTTATTTATAATTGCACATGCATATACTATAAATTTAGAATATAATAAATTAACAATACACAAATGGACTCTGTTTAAATAGTATAGCAATTTCGTATATGACTCAATCCATATTTTTCAACAGCCAAAAACGTCAGGACGAGGTCAGTTCGTTACGACTAAATGAAATTTGAAATTAAAGTGTGTAATGTTCTCTTAGCTCTTATAAGTAATAGGTCTTTATAGAGAATATTTTTTTAGGCTTTTTTAAAATCTTTATAGGTATATAAAAATTACGTGTCACGTTGTTAGTCCGCCACGAACTTATAAACTACTGAACTGACTGCAAATTTGATTTGCACATTGTGTGCAGTTTGATCTAACTTGAAAGATAGGATAGCTTACATCTCAATTTATAGTCGCAATATTATTTAACCTCAGCCACAGCAACGCATGGCCGAGTCTGCTAGTATATTGTATTTTTTTCGCGTTTTATGCTTTCGAGTAGTCTTGTATATCATTAATCCTAATCATAAAATTCCTGGTGAATTTGTTACGATGGGCTAACTGACCTGATTTCATGCTCATCTTATCAACCCCCACTGGTGCCCCGCCAGCGTAAACCGTTAGCGCAGGCGGGTACACCATTTCATTATCATCCCTAAAAAAATCCTAATCAGTCATTTGAAATCACGGCCACAAGTTAGTTTCCTATTGAGATCTATTTCATATTAAGATCCGGCACCTCAGTTTAGGTTTCTGACAGGTCGGGATCGAATGGGCGATGTAACTTTGAACTGACGTACGTACATAGATTTTAAAAGTCAAACCACATCAAACTGCGCTGTTCCAAGGTTATTTGGTCACATTAGTTGACATAACCTTGAAACAGCGCAGGTTGGTGTGGGTTGACTGTTAAAAACTATTGTTTTTAGAATTTAGAAAAGCCCAAAATTAATATGTTTATTATAAGTTAGAATAATTATATTTTTTTATGTTAATAAGGCAAATAAAAGATATTTAAAACTTTACCGAAAATTGTACGTCAGTTCAAAGTTATATTGCCCATTCGATTCTGACTTGTCCGAAACGCAGTCTGTGCTGCCGTACCGTGCCGTGACTGTATCTGTAACTTCAAATAAATGAAACGAAATTGTATAACGCAAAATTAAATTTTATTCATTTAATTTAATATTTGTATTCAAACTTTTCCACTGTCCTAACGATTGTTTTTCCGGGCAAAGTCTGTTTTTTGAACAAGTGTTGATAACTCACCGATATGTTTTCATTTACAGACACCTTTTGCAACTTCAAATCTCCCTTCGTGTAAGTTGATTCCTCTTTTGTCACAGTTATCACTGGCGATAGCACATAGTCCACGGGAGTTTCGACTATAATGTCATCGTCTAAAGTCGAGTTATCAATGACAACTGCGTTCACGTCACCTTCTCTAAGTTCCTGCTTGCCTGGTACCTCACTTTCGATATCCGAAGGATTTATATACTCGATTTTTAATTCGTGTACTTCCGGTTCCGCCATTTTGTTTCTGTAAGTTTTTTTAATGAGTATATAGGGCAATATATTTATTTATTTAACTTCACATAATACAAAATATAGTTTAGTACATTTGGCGGACTTAACACCATGCGGCATTTTCTACCAGGCAACCATAGGTGGCGCAGAGAGTAATTGTTGGCGGTGCAAATATAATAAATGATTAACAAAATGTAATCAAAATATAAACAGAACGAATATATGTATATATACACAATACGAAACATATATAGACATATATATAAAATAAACTTAAATATATATCAAATAGTCTGACAGTCACAGAACTAAAGAAAGAATAGAAAAAATGGAAAAAAGAGAATCGAGCGAAGAGAAAAAGTTATAAATTCAGATATATTAAAAGAAAATTTATTCGTATATCAAGAGCTAAGTCATTCCAAACTTAGATAGCCTGAATGGCGTAAGAATTTTGGACGGAACCGTGTGGTTGTGCGAATACAGTTTATACAATTTACAATAAGAAACTAATTATAATATAGAAAGTTGGCAATAGGAGTTGTCTCAGCTGTTGCTGATATAAGCACAATCTTAATGAGGTGCACTTATACAGCGCTGGTTTTCAGCCCCCATTACTACGGGGACTGAAAAGTTTTGAAAAGTTTTTTTTTACTGAGTACATTAAAAAAAAAAACTAAGATGCGAGTTTTTTATTATAAACTATTAAGACTTACGTTTGAGCTGTAGGCAGCAAGAATTTCAATAGTCGACTATGATCGCCGTGTTCCATATAATCATTACTCATTTATCATTACAATGATAATTATTTGATAACAAATTTTATTCATTTGTTACCTATATTTAGATATTATTATTGTACTGCAGTTTCCTACAACATTTCGGCTTTAATATATTTGCGGATTATTTAATGATGTTGGCCGTAGCTGGCCTTTACAGCTTCACCGGACGATAGGGGGCGGGTGCAGATGGCACTCCAAACCAAAGGAAGGACTTATGGAGCGGCTGAAGGCCAACTCCCACATGAAGGTTACGAGTTTAGTTTAAATACGGGGAGTTTGATAACGTTTTTTTTAGTATTGGTAATTGCCTAAAATCTTGAGCAAAACTTTTTTGTAAATACATACATAATATACATAGAAAACACTCAGACCGATATAAACAATCATACTCATGAATACAATTGTTTGTGCCGTGCGAGGAGTCGAACCCGCGACCATTGGAAGTAAAGCGGTATGCTAAATCTATAGTATATAAAAATGAATCGTTGTTTGTTAGTCTCGCTAAAATTTGAGAACGGCTGAACCGATTTGGCTAATTATAGTTTGAAATCTGCGTGGAAGTCCAGAAAAAGTAAAAACAACAATTTTATTTCCCCATACAAACTGTTCGTACCTGTTAAACAGCGTGCGTTCAGAAATGTATTGCTTTGCTAAACTTCAGCAAATCAGTGACATATTATTTAACTCTGAAGCGGAATGGAGTTCTAGGGGTCAGCTAGTTATATATATATATATATATACTAGCTGTCCCGGCAAACGTTGTATTGCCTTAAAATAAAAAAAAAAAATAAGGGTGGACTACCCCTAACATTTAGGGCGATGAAAAATAGATATTAGCCGATTCTCAGACCTACTCAATACGCTCACAAAATTTCATGAGAATCGGTCAACCCGTTTCGGAGGAGTATGGGAACAAAAACTGTGACACGAGAATTTTATATATAAGATTAGCTTACACGCATATCAATTGTGCTATTGGGGTCGACAGAAACAACAAAAATGCTTTAATATAGGAAATGTTCCTGATGCTATCAAACAATGTAATATAATGCATTTTGGGGCAACGTTACAGGAAGAAGTTGAAGTTATTTAGAATTAGCCACAGGATTATTTGACATACGAATTCTGACTTCATGCAATTATAGTTTTAATAATATTGATTGACATTAGTGGAATACTGTGACATTTATTATTTTATAATGGTACTTATTATAATATTTTTAATGAAAAGAAATTTAACGACATATTTTATTAAAATTATTATGATATCAAATTCAAATTCAAATTCAAAAATCATTTATTCATGTAGGACATTTTAGCCGCTTATGAACGTCAAATTTTTACATTATAATTTTATTTTTTCCCTACCGTCCAGTTCGGTATATAGATCCAATTGAGAAGAACTGGCAAGAAACTCAATTGAATTACTTTTTTTTTTTAAAGCCAGTTTATTTACAATGTATTTTATATAGGTGTCTATGTCTAACATTAAATGAAAATTCAGTGCATGACCAACTATTGCCATGCACACTCATCATTCAAGTAATCGTTTAGTGAGTAATAGGCTTTGCTCAGTAAATATGATTTAACAGATGTTTTGAATTTATTTAAGGGTAATTCCAACATATCCTTTGGTATCTTATTGTAAATTTTTATACCTATTCCCATAAAAGACCTATAAACTTTTTCTAAACGATACTTGGGGACAGCAAGTTTGTCTTTAAATCTGGTATTCATATTATGAATATTGCTGTTTTTTGGAAATCAATTTCAATATTTGCATACCCCTACGGGTATGTCGTGTACTTATATTACATATATTGTAAGATCAAAATTACCATGTAGCAACCAAATAAATAATTAATTATTATAACGACAGAGTCGTTATTTTTTTTCGCGCAGGACATGAATAAAGATCTTATTTTTACCGCGTTCAGAGTGTAACTCCTTACTTGGTATGATACCTTAGTACTCTGGAATGACAATATGGATGACACTCGATGAAGGATCACCTGTGGTGCTGTTGCCATATGCCTCTTCGATCGATCCCCCGTCCAATTCAAAGTGGGATCGAAATTATAACATCCTAAGCCGAGGTTCGAACCCCTAGCGATGCCAGACTAAAGTCATATGCGTCAGGCGGGAGTTGGCCTTCAGCCGCTCCATAAGTCCTTCCTTTGGTTTGGAGTGCCATCTACACTCGCCCCTATCGTCCGGTGAAGCTGTAAAGGCCAGCTGCGGCCAAGAGTATTCCAAGTCTGTAGTCGTTAATTGCGTTAATTAAGTATTAATTAAGTAGTAAGTTAATTACGTACCCATATAAAAAAAGTTACAACATTACTTAGCGTGCAATTGTATATGCCTACCTTAATGAGAAAAAGGTGTGATGAAAATTAATAATACATCTTTTCTACCACAGAGTATGTAATTCACAGGTTATCAGTATGGCATTATGGCATATTATACTTGACACAGATCTAAATAATTTAAAAAAAAAGTTAGTGACAGATTCGATTTTGGCGGGCTATTTGACACTTCCTATCTAAGAATTATAATTCAGGCATAACTGAAGACAATGGCTGTATGGGCTGAGTCCTTTTGCCTTTCCCTAAAAAGGGAAAAATCGAACCAAAAAAAAAAATTCAGGCATAGAAACCCTTTCAAAGATGAATGGAACCAAAAAAATAATAAAGCATAGAAACTCCTCTTAGACCTACAATACTACACTAGTATTTGTAAAAAATGAATCATTTGATTCCTTTTAATGCTATCAAATTATCTTATGTAATGAAGTTTGTGAGTTTGGATGGATGGATGTATAGTTTGTTGGATTGTTACTCTTTCAGGCAAAAACTGAATGGATTTAATATGATATAATGAAACTTCACAACAATATCGCTTATATATATTGTTAGTATATTTCTAGATTATTAATATCATTTTAATTTATATAGTTGCTGTTTTTCTTTTCTTTTTATTTTATTTCTTAGTTTTTTTTTATGACCATATTGCTATTATGACTATTATTGTTAATGTAAGTATTGCATACGTTTATTCCTTGGTGAGTGCATTGGTATAGTATTGTAATACTCACCGAGAGCATGTAATTTTATAAATAAAATAAATAAAAATAAATAATATTTCATAATAACACATAGCCTATGTCTATAAATTTCACGCGGGTAAATCCACGGGTATAACTAGTATTAAGATAATATTAATAACATTACCGACCGAACTATATCATTTATTTCTTTTTCTTACACTTATAGCATAATAATATATTTGGCTTAACCCCTAAAAAAAGAAAAAATATCTAATTGATTGTCAATTTTGTTTTTTCGCGCGCTATTTTGACACTTGCAACGTGTAACTACTACAATGGCTGTATGGGTTGTGTCCTTTCGCCTTTCCCTTCGACGGGAAAAACTAAAAAAAAAAATTGCACCGCGTAATCACAAAAACTATATGCACTTATCACCGATTGATCGTTTTTTAATGTACTGTTCATTAAATATGTAGTTATATGTTACATATATATGAAAGTATATGTAAACGCGTATATTGACCGACGCGGTTGGGACTACTGGCATTCTTATTGTGTTATCTACTCGATAACAATAGATATTGATTTGTTCATATCTCCTCATAATGATAATGTGATATCCTCGCATAATATGATATTTAATTGTGTTAACCTGAATTCTTTATTTTTATAACCTACTAGCTTTTACCTGCGACTTCGTCCGCGTAAAATTCACTTTATTTTCATTAAACCACCTAAAATTTCTGTCTGGGATTTTCTCCAATTACAAAAAAAGATGGCGCTGCGTGAATTGTCCTGGGTTATTTTTATTACTAGCTGTGCCCGCGGTTTAATCCGCGTGTTCTTTTAATGTTAGCTATATTATTGTAAAAATCCATTTAGTCTTTTTTGTGTGAAAGAATAACAAACATATATCCAGTTCATTTATCTATACATATAAATAAAATTGGAGTGTCTGTTTGTAATATGGTATTTTTTTTACTACACGCATATGAATATAAATACAGAACAAACACCAAAGAACCACTTTTAAAAAAATTTGTCTGTCTAACGGTCTGTTTGTTCCGGCTAATCTCTGAAATGGCTGGACCGATTTTGACGGGACTTTTATTGTCAGATAGCTGATGTAATAAGGAGTAACTTAGGCTACTTTTAGAAAAATAAAGTTAAATTCCACGCGGACGAAGTCGCAGGTGCGGCTAGTTTATGTTATAATTTTCTAATATTATATATTATTAATATAATTATAAATTAGGCGTGTGCATGTGGCAGAAATGCGAATGTTAAGATGGATGTGTGGGGTTACCAGGAATGACAGAATAAGGAATGAGTATATACGAGTTTGAAAGTCGCGCCGGTTATAGAAAAGTTGCGAGGTAACAGATTGAGCTGGTATGGGCATGTTATGCGGAGGAATGAGGACCATGTCTTATGGAAAGTGTATAATATGAATGTGGATGGATGCAAAGGGAGGGGACGCCCTAAGAAAAGATGGATAGATTGTGTGAAAGATGATATGAATAAAAGAAGAGTATGTTTAGATATGACGACTGATAGAGAGCAGTGGAAGAGAATGACATACTGCGCCGACCCCAAATAATGGGATAAAGGCAAGGCAATGATGATTAATATAATTATAAATATCGTTGGAAGGGATGTAGAAATAAAGGACAGAAGTAAACGAATGAATTTCAATTTGGTTTCACGCTCTTCACGTCTCAACCGGACGCCGGCTGCCTGTTGAGTGTTGTGGTTGGCTTACATGCTGCTATTTATTTCTTCATAATATTAATACTAGATTTAAAAACAAACTCGCTGAGTAGTTTAGTTGAAACTGAGTTCAGCAGCTTTTGCCGTGCGTAAGGTTAGACAGTACACTGATACTGATACTGCTAGATTGGTCTATTTCAGTTATTTTCATAGTTTACTCTCTTATGGAATATTATTATGGGGAAAAGCGGCAGATATTAAAAATATATTCATATTACAAAAACGTGCCATTCGAGCGATCTACTGTATGAAGAGTC